GGACCTGGGCTGAGAGCACTTTCAGCCCCTGCCCCTCCCCAGATGATCCTCCTGAAGGCCTGCTGAATGTAGGGCCACTTGGTGGCCTCATAGGCCTGGAGAGGCTCTGCTAGCACCCCTGAAAGCCCAGGCCAGACCAGAAGCTTCAGCCTGCCTGGGGCACAACATGGCACTGTGTGCCAGGCTTGCACCGAAGACTGTGTTGCAACTGTGGTCAGCACATCTACTTCCTGAGTTCCTTTCTTTCTTTCTTTCTTTCTTTCTTTCTTTCTTTTTTTTTTTTTTTTTTTTTTTTTTGGTTTTACGAGACAGGGTTTCTCTGTATTGTTTTGGAGGCTGTCGGACCAGCCCAGCCTCGAACTCACAGAGATCCACCTGCCTCTGGTGCACCACCACCACCCAGCCTGAGTTCCTTTCTATTCAAAAGGGCTTTTCCTTTTATCTCTTTTGATTTAAGAGAGGACACCTACTTTCAGATGCAGCCTTCGATGGTGGGTTGGTAAGTTAGTAAATCCTGGCTATTGTGGGGCCTCCTGTCTTCTCATTAAACAAAACTTGGAGGTTACAGAGTCCAGGGACAAGGAGGCTCTTCTACTCTTCAGGCTTCCTACGACCATCACCTTCCATCCTGTAACCAACTGTAAAGATGTCATTCAATGCACACTTATGTGTGCTTGTGAGTGTGCATGCATGCATGCATGCGTGTGAGTGCACACATGCATATGCATGTGAGTGTGCATGTGTGTATGCATGCATGTATGCAAGGGAGTGCGTATACACATGAGAAGGTCCACTTCTGGGACAGTCCATGCCTCATTAAAGCTTGCAGTCACCTCTTCTTTGAAAGGGGGAGACTGAGCAGGGCATGGTGACACATATCTGTAATCCCAGTACTCAGGAGGCTGAGGAAAGAGGATCATAAGAACCTACCCTAAAATTAAAAATAAATACAAATTAAATTAAAAAGAAGAGATGGGAAGGGATAGATAATATTCGTGAATATAATTGATTGATAGTCCCATGATGTTTTGATTTTTTATTTGAAGGAAGAGAGTGTGTCTACAGATGTGGGGCAGCAGTTGGGCAGGAAGGGAATAGGCGTTAGGAAGCTGTGCCTGGCCACCTTCAAGATTCTGCACAGCTGTCACTCAAAGGATCACCTGGGAGTAGGGGGTGGTGCCCAGGTATCTGGTAACACAGCTCTGAGTTAAAAGCTACTAAGAAGTAACCCAAGCCAGGGGAACCATTCCAGAAAGCCATCCATGGAGGAAATAGCACCGAGGTAAGAGATCCTGTGATGGGGTCCCCAGGATTGTATGGGGACAACTAGAATGCTTCTAGATTGGGGACCTTGCCAAGTCAGGCTTTCATGTGTTTTTAGAAACAACACTCCCTCATTTTTCCCTTTACTCTTCTTCCCTCCCTCCCTCCCTCTTTCTGTGCATCCATTCATCCCTTTCTCCATCACTGAGCTAAATCCCCAGCCCCAGAGACAATTTCTCTGAAAAGGGCATCCCTTCTGCCTTCTTTCTGAAAAGAAGAGAAGAAAAAGAAAGGAGGATTCTCAGGGGCTGGCGAGATGGCTCAGTGGTTAAGAAAGGAGGCTTCTCTGAGGCCATGCTGATGGGACCAATGTGTCTGGACTTAAGGGGCTCTGAGGACCAGAGCAGGAACCAACTAACTGACAAAAGTAGAGGAGATGGTAGGAAGGGTATAGCAAAGGCAGGCACATCCTGGACGTGGGCTTCTTGTTAATTCAGCATCCTTTTCGTCTTTGGTTGCCCGGGGCTAGCACAGCTTCTGGCACACTGGGGGGAGCTAACACAGCTACTAGCACACAGTGGGGGCTAGCGTAGCTTCTGGCACACAGTGGGGGACTAGCATAGCTTCTGGCACACAGTGGGGGGCTAGCATAGCTTCTGACACACAGTGGGGGGCTAGCATAGCTTCTGACACACAGTGGGGGCTAGCGTAGCTTCTGACACACAGTGGGGGGCTAGCACAGCTTCTGACACACAGTGGGGACTAGCATAGTTTCTGGCACACAGTGGGGGGCTAGCATAGCTTCTGACACACAGTGGGGGCTAGCACAGCTTCTGACACACAGTGGGGGGCTAACACAGCTACTAGCACACAGTGGGGGGCTAGCACAGCTTCTGGCACACAGTGGGGGGCTAGCACAGCTTCTGACACACAGTGGGGGGCTAGCACAGCTACTAGCACACAGTGGGGGGCTAGCATAGCTTCTGACACACAGTGGGGGGCTAGCACAGCTACTAGCACACAGTGGGGGCTAGCACAGCTTCTGGCACACAGTGGGGGACTAGCATAGCTTCTGGCACACAGTGGGGGGCTAGCATAGCTTCTGACACACAGTGGGGGCTAGCACAGCTTCTGGCACACAGTGGGGGCTAGCACAGCTTCTGACACACAGTGGGGGCTAACACAGCTACTAGCACACAGTGGGGGGCTAGCATAGCTTCTGACACACAGTGGGGGGCTAGCACAGCTACTAGCACACAGTGGGGGGCTAGCATAGCTTCTGGCACACAGTGGGGGGCTAGCACAGCTTCTGGCACACAGTGGGGAGCTAACACAGCTACTAGCACACAGTGGGGGGCTAGCATAGCTTCTGGCACACAGTGGGGGCTAGCATAGCTTCTGGCACACAGTGGGGGGCTAGCATAGCTTCTGACACACAGTGGGGGGCTAGCACAGCTACTAGCACACAGTGGGGGGCTAGCATAGCTTCTGACACACAGTGGGGGCTAGCATAGCTTCTGACACACAGTGGGGGCTAGCACAGCTTCTGACACACAGTGGGGGGAGCTAACACAGCTACTAGCACACAGTGGGGGGCTAGCACAGCTGCTAGCACACAGTGGGGGGCTAGCGTAGCTTCTGGCACACAGTGGGGGCTAGCACAGCTTCTGACACACAGTGGGGAGCTAACACAGCTACTAGCACACAGTGGGGGGCTAGCATAGCTTCTGACACACAGTGGGGGCTAGCACAGCTTCTGACACACAGTGGGGGCTAGCGTAGCTTCTGACACACAGTGGGGGCTAGCGTAGCTTCTGACACACAGTGGGGGCTAGCGTAGCTTCTGACACACAGTGGGGGCTAGCATAGCTTCTGGCACACAGTGGGGGCTAGCATAGCTTCTGACACACAGTGGGGGCTAGCACAGCTGCTAGCACACAGTGGGGGCTAGCGTAGCTTCTGGCACACAGTGGGGCTGCTTGTGCTGCGTTCCATTGGTTTGTGATGCAGCAGCACACCCGAGAGAGCAGTTGTATGCACAAGTGCAGGGTGAAAGAGGCAGGAGGGAGCCCTGTGTGTGCTGTGGGTTTTGGTTGGTTGGGTTTTGTCTTTTGAAAGTGTCTTTATTTTTTTTTTATTTTTATTTTTTGGTTTTTGGTTTTTCGAGACAGGGTTTCTCTGTGGCTTTTGGAGGCTGTCCTGGAACTCGCTTGGTAGTCCAGGCTGGTCTCGAACTCACAGAGATCCGCCTGCCTCTGCCTCCGGAGTGCTGGGATTAAAGGCGTGTGCCACCAACGCCCGGCGAAAGTGTCTTTATATGTAGATATGTAGCCCTGGCTGTCCTGGAACACTATGCAAACCAGACTGGCCTCAAACTCACACAGATCTGCCTGTCTTTATCTCCTGAGTGCTGGGATTAAAGATGTGCACTGCCATGACAGCAATTAGTTTGTTTGTTTTGCTTTAATGGAATACAGGGCATCAAACCCTGAGCCTCAATACTACTAGACAAGGAGGCTGAAAAGACCTGAGTTCAGTTCCCAGCACCCACATCAGTTCCCACACCAGCACCCACATCAGGCAGCTCATAACCACCTGAAACTTTAGCTCCGAGGCAACCAAAGCCTCTGGTGTACCTACTCACATGCACACACACACATATTCAAAGTGACAAACATAATTCTCTAGACATTGACCAAAGCAGAGGAAAATCCCCTAGGAATGTTGGATGATGACTGCACAGCTGAATTCATGTGATGTCATTGAATTGACCCCTTGAAGATGCTTTTAAATTATATATGTATGTATATATTTTGAGATAGGGTTTTTCTGTGTAGCCCTGGCTATTCTGGAAGACCAGGCTGGCCTCAATCTCAAGAGATCTGCCTGCCTCTGCCTCCTGAGTGCTAGGATTAAAGGTGTGCGTCACAATACCCGGCTTAAGATGCTTGTTTGTGTGTGTGTGTGTGTGTGTGTGAGAGAGAGAGAGAGAGAGAGAGAGAGAGAGAGAGAGAGAGAGAGAGAGAGAGAGAGAGAGAGGAGGGAGAGGGAGAGGGAGAGGAAGAGAGAGAGAAAGAGAGAGGGAGAGCCTGTAGAAGGGGGAGTCACTTTAAAAGTTCAGTAAGCTCTTAAAGACAGGTGTGTGTGTGTGTGTGTGTGTGTGTATGTGTGTGTGTGTGAAGCTTTGCATTCCCTGGAGCTGGAGTTACAATGGAGTTACAAGCAGTTGTTAGTCACCATGCGGGTGCTGAGAACCAAATCTGAGCCCTACAAGAGCAGCCAGTGCTCTTCACTGCTGGGCCATTTCTCCAGCCCCAATCCTTTAGTAAGCATCCACTGAAATCTAATTGCCTTCCCTAGTTCCCAAGAAGTCAGCCTTGCTAACTGTGTGATGAATGAGGCCAGTGGTGCAGCTCGGTGGAGAGTGTATATTTTCAATGCCGGGTTCAATCATAATCCTGGGGGTAGGGGAAGACTTCGGGAGAAAAATCCTAGGAAATTACAGAGGTTTGCAGGGACTTTTGTTTGCTGTTTGGTTTTTGTAGCATGGGGGACTGATTCATGGAAGGGGGCTTTCAGGAAGCAGCCATTACTTGATCTGAGTGCTGACAAGAACCCTGGAAGAGTTCTTAAAAAGTGGGAATCAAAATGCTGCCCAGTGGAACACAGGAAGCAAGGTAATCCTCGGTCCCCTGAGGCCAGCAGGATCCCACTGGAGGGGCAGAGCAAAGGCTGACATGCTGACCCCTCTCTTGCCTGGTATCATCACTAGGTCTTCCCCTGTCCCCAGGGATAGCCACCGGAAGCTTGAGCTGGTACCCAGACCTTCAAGCTACAAGAAGAAAAAGAAGACAAGGAAACAGCTTCAGCAAGAAGCCAGCATCCAGACCTTCACCAGGGCTGGCCTCAGGGCCCTGCGGGCTGGTCAGGCTCAGGAGGCCTTGGGCAGCTTCCAGAAGGCCTTTCTGCTGGCCTCCAAGGTCCCATCCACCAGAAGTAGCCCTGTTCTTCGAGCCTGTGCCTTCAACCTGGGGACTGCCTATGTGGAGATCGGGAACGCAGCCAAAGGACTGGAGCTACTTCTGGGAGCCCATCCTGAAGAGAAGTGCGAAGGCTGGTGTCATGGTGACCAGTGTTTCAATGTGGCTTTGGCCTATCATGCCCTTGGTGAACTGACCCAAGCTTTGGACTGGTACCACAGGGCTCTGGGCCACTACCAGTCACAGGGGGACCATGGGGAAGCACAGGCAAAAATGGGAGCCTGCTACCAGACCCTGGGGCGCCCTAAGCATGCAGCCTGCAGTTTACAGAAAACAAGCTGGGCCTATGCTCATGCAGGCCAACTCTGGGATGCAGCCCTGGCTCAGGCGGCTGCAGAGAGATGTATGCTGAGCACTGGGCAGCATGGACTGGGTGGGGTCCTGAATGCTCTGGGGGAGAGCCGTGAACTTGCTGATGCTGACCAGAGCGCTGACCGGGGACTGCTGGGTGAGCCTTGGAAAAGAGGTATGGGGTCTGAGGAGGGGCTGAGCCCCAGCCTGGTGGTGTCCTGGGAGGGAACTGGGAGTGGGAGGGGCCGGTGAGGCACTGCACAGCCTTCGTTATACTCATTTGACCACCAGCGACTGTCTTACTCTCCAGGGCCACTCTACAATGATCTAGGCATGGGTTTCTTCCAGCTCCAGCTCTTCCCTCTGGCAGCAGAGACCTTCCTGCAGGCCCTACCCCTGTGTCGACAGCCAGCCGAGCAGGCGACGGTGCTTCAAAACCTTGGGATGACCTACAATGTCCTTGGCAGCTATCAAGAAGCCCAAGAGTTTCACCAGAAGGCTGCCGATCTACATGGTGGGTGCCTGGGGCTGGGGAAGGGGGCCAAGACTGAAGGATTAAGAAGTTTCAGTACTGGGGAGATAGATAGATAGATAGATAGATAGATAGATAGATAGATAGATTGATTGATAGATTGATTGATAGATTGATTGATTGATTCTTGCCAGAGTTTGATTCCCAGACAAGGAAAACCAAATGTGGTGTGCATCTGTAATCTCACTACTCAGTAGGTAGAGGCAAGGAGATCAGAAGCTTGAAGTCATCCTTGGCTACATACCAAACTCAAGGCCAACTTGGGTTACATGGTATCCAGTCAAAAAAGAAAAAGAATAAAAAGTTTCCAATGGGCCTGGTGGTTCCCTGAGGGCTGGGAGGGGTTTGGGGACCCGGAGGAGTATGGTCGGAGCTGTCCTTGTACAGGTGTACACCCAGTAGCCTTGGGTGGATGGATCTTTGGGACATCTGGGACTGCCTGAAATGGGGCGGAGAAAGCTGTGGACTCAGCGGCCTGGGCCTGGGGGTTAAGAGACCAGAAGTGAGCTGGGCGGTGGTGGCGCACGCCTTTAATCCCAGCACTTGGGAGGCAGAGGCAGGCGGATCTCTGTGAGTTCGAGGCCAGGCTGGACCGACAGCCTCCGAAACAATACAGAGAAACCCTGTCTCGTAAAAACAACAAAAAAAAAAAAAAAAAAAAAAGAGACCAGAAGTGCTGCCCGGGATCTCCTCCACTGAGTGTGACCTCCACTGAGTGTGACCTCCAGCAGCAAGCCACTTCCTTCTCTAAGCTTCAGGTTCCACACAGAAAAACGTACTATGAGGGGCAGGCGAGGGCACTTGCTGCCAAGCATGCCGGCCTGAGTTCCATCCCCAGAACCCATGTGAATGAAGGAGCACCTGTTCCCGGAGGCTGTCCTCAGACATTCCCCTGTGGACATGCATATTCCTACAAAAGGAAATGTGGAAAAGCTAAAGCAGTGTGGCTCAGTGGTAAAGCGCTTGCCTGGAGTATACAGGACCCTGGATTCCACTCCTAGCACTACAAAAGCAAACAAATGAAAAAGTAAACACAGTGTCCTCATCACATAAATGGCACTGTAACTATGACCTGGGTTCTTAGCCCTAACTAGTTTCTTTCCTGCTGGGTATGGCGGAAAACCCCTGCTTTAATCGTAACACTGTAGAGAGGTACAGACAGATCTCTGAATTCCACCAGCCAGGCCCTACACAGTAAAAATTTTGCTTTTTGTCTCAAACTATGAGTGACTCACTGGCTCCAACTGGTCAGGAAGGCATTTGGGGGTAAAACTTGAGGTTAGAGAGGCTAAGCCTGGACATTTTAGGCCTTTGTGGGTCACCCAGAGACAGAAGCTGGGCTCTGGAACCCTCCCTTGTTTGGGGAAGGGTCTTGATGCAATCAGCTACCAAGTCCCTATACAAATGGACACGTTCTGGTTCCAGGCTCTGTGGGCCAGCGTTTGGAGCAAGGTCGGAGCTTTGGCGGGCTGGCATTTTCACTGAGCCAGATGGGGGACCACAGGGCTGCTCGGGACAGCTATTTTCATGCCCTGCAGGCTGCCCAAGACACTAGTAAGAATGAGGGGGTTAGCTTGGAACTTGGGAGGGCAAAGACTCAGGGTGCGCATTGCTGGGAGGGTCTGTTGAACAGGGAACGGGATCTTTCAAGCTCTCTTCCTTAGGGGACGTGAAGGGACAGTGGCAGGCCTGTGAGGGCCTTGGGGCAGCTGCAGCCAGACTGGGGCAACATGATAAGGCCTTGAAATACTATAAGGAAGCCCTGGCCCGGTGTCAGGTGAGACCCGCCATGATGGCCCTGACTCCGCCTGCCCTCCCTCCCCTCCTCTGGCTGACACTGCTGCCCTTGCCCCCACCTCATAGTTATGACTGGAAAGAAACCCCATCCATCCCAGGTCCCGGGCTGTTACCTGGAGGCAGAGGCAGTCTGACCACAGCTCTGGCTCGGCGGCATGGGGGCATGTGGGCAGGGCACACAAGGAGGCAAGCGGAGTTCCTGCCCTTTCTTTCAGTCGCTTCCCCTTTTCTGCAGCCTGGATAGTCCAGCCCATTCTCCCTAACTCACTGTCCCCCTCTCCCCAGCACGAACCGGGTTCTGTGCGAGAGCGACTTGTGGCCAAGCTGGCGGATGCCATGCGGACCTTCTTGACTCAGGAGAGACTATCCCGGGCTCCTATCCTGGTAACATGACACCTGAGGCCAGGAGGTGGGGGTGGGAGCAAGTTGCCCAGAAAGGAAGTCCTCAGGGTGCCACACTTAACTGTTCCTGTGTTCATTTGCCCCTGAGTTTGCACGAGGGATGTATATCAGGTTTTGGGGGGTGGGACAGGGGGTGAGCGGAGATTGTGTATGCACAAGGGCTGTCCCGCGACTTTGGCTGAGTGGTAAACCCATCGGGTTAAGGCCATGGCCTTTAGCCATTTGTGTGGAGAATTGAGTGCAGTTCCCTAAATGGCCACAGGAGGGGGGTGGTGCTCCAAGAAGGCTCCAGGAGCTGTGTCGTTGATAGGGATGCCCCAGGTCCAGCTTGTTTTGCTTCCCAGCCTCTCGGTCATGGCCCCTCCGAATGCTTTCCTCCGTAGGAAACTTCCTCTCGCCGCAAGAACTGAAGTGTATGCTTTATTATAGAGATTGAATGAGTTGAATGACCTCTTGTTTTGTTTTTTCGAGACAAGATTTCTCTGTGTATCTTTGGCTGTCTTGGAACTCACTCTTGTAGACCTGGAACCCACAGATATCCACCTGCCTCTGCCTCCCAAGTGTTCGAATTAAAAATGTGCACCACCACCTCCAGGCGTCCTCTTGTTTTAAAGACCAGGACACCGTATAATCTTTGAGCACAATTAAATTCAACTGAAGCAGGAGGTGTAGTTCAGTGGTAGAACCCTTGCTCAGCAAATGTGAGGCTGTCAGCACAAAGGCTGCACTTTAATCTGCTGCTGTGCTGTGTTAGCCAGCAAACGCGGCTCCACAGTTACTGGCCTGCTTCTCTGGCAGTGACCTGGCTGCTCAGGCTGTGGCCTGGTGGGAATTCTGTTCTGCTGCCAAATATAACTTTTCATTAAATCTCTATTGTTCTTCTTATCAATAAGACTCCGGAATCAAAGGCTGGGGTGAAAACATGATAGCTCAGAGAGGTTCAGTAGCAACCAGCTGACCTTCTCTCTTTGCTTGTATGGGCATCTCCAAAAGAAGGTGTACTTATGCTCCACCAAAACAAATGAACCCATGCTACACTAAGTCCCTCCCTACTACTTCCTGGGCATGTCTCTATTGTCTTACACACTCTATGGCTCTATGATTACTTCCTGTCAACCAGACCTTAACTCAGCCTCCTGACCCAAGGTTGATTTTATTTAATTAACACAAACTCAGGGTTCACAGTGCAATTGAATATTCTACAAGAGAGGCCATAAGTTCAGTTACCACACTGGGGGGTAGGGGTAGTTATCCTGGGACAGACAGAGGCTTGGATTAAAAGTCAAAGGACTTGGGCTCCAGCCAAGGTCACTCACCAACTGTGACAGTCAGTACCAGAGAGGCTCCAGGCGTGACAGGGGAGAGGTCAGGTTAGGGTTCAGTCAGCAAGCCCGGTGTGTAACCTAAGATTTAGCAGGTGGACATCTATAGAGCAAAGGACCTCACTTAAGAATTTGATTCTCAGAACCCCACGGGCTGTAAGTCTGTAGGGGGTACTGTGGCAGCTGAAGGCAGCTGGAAGGACAGTGTGACAGCCAGGTGGTCATTTTTTTCCATGCCACACTCTGTACTTCCCCCATCCCAGCCCTCTGCTCCTGGAAGGCTCCAGGCCAAGGGGAAGGCCTCCCCGGCAGCAAGGACCTCCGCCAGGTGAGCTGGGTAGGTGGGGGAGGGTGCACTGTCCAGGGATGGGGAGCTGGCCCCCGGGGTGTCCCACAGCCCAGCCACATTCAGTGCCCCGTGAGGAGAAAGAGACAGAGGGAGTGGCGAACATGACCCCGTCAGGACCTCAGCGACAGGACGGTGAGTGGAGGGAGTAGGAGGAACAGGCCCACTCCTGCACTCGCTCTCATGGCTCTCTCCTGGTCCCCCAACCCAGGCCCGCCACCCACCCACCGCTCCCCTGCAGTAGCCTCCCCACATTTCTTTCTGCTTGTCTTTGGAGGGCCTGGTTCATCTCCTCCAAGCCCTTCCCAGGTGTGTGTGTCCCCTCCTGTCTGGTGGCTTCATCTCCCAACACCTTAAACTTCGAGCACAGGGCTGTGGAGAGCCCGCTCCATGTCAAGCTCTGTCCCTCAAAGCTTCCAAGCTTGGGGAGACAAAGGCATGGCTACTTGGTGAGCTGGCTTGAATTACTGTTCTTTTCAGTCTGTTCCCTTCTGGCACAGGGGCTCGCACCGCTGTCACTAGGTTAGCAAGCATCCTTCATGAAGTGACCGATCCATGCCTGGAATCCACCCCTGCTCCCTCTGTCCCACTGTGATGCCCTGGTTAGAAGCGGCCTGTGACAGGTGCATCCGACCCTCTCCATCCAGGCTTGGGAGCCGCAGTTCATCTTCCGTCTGGAGGCCTGAGTCCCAATCATCACCCCGCCATCACAGCACCCAACCCGCTCCAAGTCCATAGGTAAGGGGGGGGGGTGCTGGAGCCCGGACAGCACAAGTAAAAGAAGTAGCTTGTGGTGGTTTTAAGTGAGCATCACCGCCATTAGGTTGAGGGAAGAAAGGTTCTCGTCTCTGGCTCCTGCGCGACCTGCCTGCAGGCTTGAAAAAAGCCGAGTCCTAAAGAAACTAGGGATGAGATGCTGGGAACAGCGAAGCCGTCCCCCTGGCTCCCCAGTTGCCCCACGGCAGGCCCTTCTGCCTCTTTTAGACCATCCAGGTGGACCAAGCAAGCCCTCAGCAGGAAGCCCCAGAAGACATGTGCCCACTCTGGCTTCTGCACCATCATGTGACCTGTACCTGCCGGCCACAGCCCTTACCTCTGCAGAAACTCCCCAACATGTATGCATGTGGGGGCTCTTGGGGGAGGAGCCTCTTCAGCAGGAATGGACACAGGCAGGCTAAGGGCTGTGCTGCCTCAACATTGGAGATTCTCTTTGCTCTTGGTGAGTCTAACTCGGTAGACTAAAGCAAACTGGAAAATGGATGGTGAGCACTGACCCTTGCTTTTCTGGGTCAGGAGGTCATAGCTGCTAAGGCCTTTGTCAGCTCTAAAAATGACTCCCTAGCTCAGGTGACTTTGGGACCACTGACCTTCTCCATGCCCCCTTTTCCATGTGGGAGACAGGAATGCTATACAACAGAAGATATGAAAGAACAGACGCTCCACTACCACCCCCTGCAGGACACCCCGGGTCACAGCAGCAATAATGATGTGACATTTATTAAGCCTACTGCACACCCTAAGCACTTACAGATATTTCTTCACAGGACCATGTGAGGAAAAGAGAGAGCTCAGTGTGTTGGCACAAGCCTGTGGTCCTAGCACTCAGGAGGCAGGAAGAGCTCCACTTTAAGGCCATCCTGGGCTACATAGTGAGACTTATCTTTTTTTTTTTTTTTTTTTTTTTTTTTGGTTTTTCGAGACAGGGTTTCTCTGTGGCTTTGGAGGCTGTCCTGGAACTCGCTCTGTAGACCAGGCTGGTCTCGAACTCACAGAGATCCGCCTGCCTCTGCCTCCCGAGTGCTGGGATTAAAGGCGTGCGCCACCACCGCCCGGCGAGACTTATTATTAATTATGATGCTCAGCCTTAGCCTAGCGACTTTTTCAAACTTAATTAAGCCATTTCTATTAATTTATGCGCTGCCCTAAGGCTCGTTTACCTCATCCACTGTGCTGCCCATCCCCCTTTGCTACTTCTTCTGTGTCTGTCTGTCTGCCTCCTCCTCCCAGCCGCTGACTCCCCTTCTCTCCCACCAGCCCTGCCTATCCTTCCTCTGTCTAGCTATTGGCTATTCAGCTTTCTATTAGACCAATCAGGTGCCTTAGGCAGGCAAGGTAAAACAGCAACACATCTTTACATAGTTAAACAAATGCAGCATAAACAAATATAATACACCTTTACATAGTTAAACAAATATTCTGTTCCACAACACTAGAAAGGTGCAGGCCAGCAGATCCCTGCAAGTTTGAGGCTAACCTGGTCTACATAGCAAGTACCAGGCCAGCCAGGGCTGTATAGTGTGGTCTTGTCTCAAAAAACAAACAAACAAACAAACAAAAAAACAAAAACAAAAATTGAAACAAAACAAAAATCCAACACAAAGATGAGGAAAAGGAGGCTCAAAGGCTAAGGGCTTAAACTTCCAGACACACAGAAAGTCCCTGAGGTGTTACTCAGTGATGCAGGCAGCTGTGTAGCCTCATCCCCTCCTTAGCCGGCCCGCAGTCCGCTACGATTTAGTACAAAGCATGGATCCAGGACCTAAGTGTGAAAAGAAGATTGGTTCTACAAAGCCAAGTTGGATCCTTAAAAGACTCATTCAAACTAAGTCATTTTTCTGATTGTTTGTTTCACAGAGTTAGGGACTGAGGGTCTAACGGGGCGTATGCTAAGTAAGCACTCCAGCACTGGCTGGAGGCCAAGGCTCGTCATTTTAAAAAGCTGCAGTTGAATTGGAGACAAGCAAGGGGGTTTTACAAAGTGGCCCAAATCCTAAGAGTCTAGAGTAATCTAGCTCCAATTGCTTTAGACATTCATGAGCTGATTCCCTTTATGGATGCAAACTATGGGTGGGGAGGGGTTTAGAGAGAAGGTTAAAAGCATTTATTGTTCTAGAAGACCAGGGTTCAGTTCCCAGAACCCTCATGGTGAATCACAACCATCCATGACTGTAGCTCCAGGGACCTGAGGGCACCAGGCACGCATGTGATTCACACACATACATGTAGGCAAAATCTTCATACACATAAAACAAAATAAAAAATCTAAAAACTACTTTTAAAAGAAACAAACTGGAAATTGTTGGTAACAGGTTAAAGTTTGTATAAAAACATGAAAAATAAGACTGGAAGGAGCCGGGCGTTGGTGGCGCACGCCTTTAATCCCAGCACTCGGGAGGCAGAGGCAGGCGGATCTCTGTGAGTTCGAGGCCAGCCTGGTCTACAAAGTGAGTTCCAGGACAGCCTCCAAAGCTAGAGAGAAACCCTGTCTCAAAAAAAAAAAAAAAAAAAAAAAAAAAGACTGGACGGAGGTGGCGCATGTCTTTAATTCCAGCAGAGGGAGGCAGAGGCAGGCGGATTTCTGAGTTTGAGGCCAGCCTGGTCTACAGAGCAAGTTCCAGGGCAGCCAGGGCTACACATCTAGTTCAGCTTCTCTGTTTTCAAAGAGGTGTGTAAACGTTGTGTTCAGCAATAGGTCCTTACCATCAGTTGTGGAGAGCAACTAATAGCTTTGGCAATAACCCACGTTGTTTGGGGGTTCCCATGGGGCCCCTTTGGCCATCAAGTCAGTTAGATGTAGCCCACTCCTGGTGCTGAAGGCTTCATTTGGTGGTAAAAGCTGTCTGGTTGGGGCTTTGTCTTCCCTGCCGTTTGGTGATTCCATTTAGGCTTCTTTTATATATGTATATGTTTAAGAAGCTTCTGCTGTGGTTGGGTTTCTTATGACCAGTCAAGTGACCCCTAGTGTTAGTTGTCCCTCTCTATAGTCTCTCCCTTCCTCTCCCCTATTCTGTTTAACCTTCCCGTCCTGCCTCCCCACCCAAGTCTCTCCCTTAATCTGTGTGTATGTATGTATATGTGTATATATATGTGTGTGTGTGTGTGTGTGTATGTGTGTGTGTGTGTGTGTATGTGTGTGTGTGTGTGTATTCTATTTCCCCTTCCTTGGGAAATCCTTCCAGGAAGATCCTCCCCTCCCATCTGGTTCTGTACTCTATGCCTAACCTCTGTGGTTGTACTGATGTACCTACTGAAGGCGTAAAAGCTACCACCCACATACACGAGAGCACAAACCATATTTGTCTTTTCGGGTCTGAGTAACCTCATTCATAATGATTTTTTTCTGGCTCTGACTATTTACCTGCAAATTTCATATTTTTAACAGTTGAATAATATTTCATTTTGTAAATGTACCACATTTTCTTCACCCATTCATCTGTTGGTGGGCATCTAAGCTGTTTCTAAATTTCAGCTACTATGAGTAGAGCAGTATCTATGAACATGGATGAGCATGCGTCTCTGTAGAGGGATGTGGGGTCTTTTGGGTACACACCTGAGAGTGGTATAGCTGATTTCTATATCTATATCAGTGTCACACTAACTTCTATAGCTACAAGTTTGCATTCCCACCAGTGATGATGGGTGAGTGTCAGGATGACTGAGTGAGGCTAGGAGTTGTCGTTCTTTGCTGGATGGGTGTTCATCCTCGGTTTCTTTTTTATGTTTGTTTTCGAGACAGTAGCCCTGGCTGTCCTGGAACTCACTGTGTAGATCAGGCTGGCCTCTAACTCACAGAGATCCACCTGCCTTTGACTCCCAAGTACTGGGGTGCCTCATCCTTTTTTTTTTAAAGATGGGGGTCTTATTATGTAGTTCTAGCTGGTCTGGAACTCACTTTGTAGAGCAGGCTGGCCTTGAATTCAGAGACCTGCTTGCCTATGCCTCCAAGTCCTGAGGTTAATGGCGTGCACTACTGTGCCTGGCTCACTTATTATTATTATTATTAGTTATGTGTGCAAGTGTATCTGTGTGCTGCTCTGTGCATACGAGTGAAGGTGCCCACAGCGGCCAGAGATGTCAGATCCCCTGAGCTGCAAGCAGTTGTGAGCCCCTGACATGAGTGCTGGGGCCTGAGCTTGCCTCTGCAGGAGCAGTTTGTGATCTTAATGCATCCCTCCAGCCCTGACTCTGACATTAGCATGGGATTTACACCTCATACTGCTTCAGGGACTGGGGAAGTAGCTCAGTGGCAAAGCGAATACACAAGGCTATCAGGGAAAGAAGAAAAAAGGTTGCTCCACCAATAGCACTGTGCTAAGTAGTCTTATGTCGACTTGACACAGCTAGAGGTATCTGAAAGGAGGAAACTTCAGCTGAGAAAATGACTCCATAACATTCAGCTGCAGGGGATTTCCTAAATTAGCAATTCATGGGGGGAAGGCCCAGCCATCATGGGTGGTGCCATCCCTAGACTGGTGGTCCTGGGTTCTATAAGAAAGCAGGCTGAACAAGCCATGATGAGCAAGTCAGTAAGCAGCCCCCTCCATGACCTCATCAGCCCCTGTCTCCAGGTTCCTGCCCTGTTTGTGTTCTTGTCCTGACTTTATTTGATGATGTACTGTGATGTGGGAGTGATGGGGTGTCCTTCTGTATATATATTTCTCTCATTTGTTGATTAGTAAAACACTGATTGGCTAGTAGCCAGGCAGGGAGTATAGGCGGGGCTGCCTGATGAGAATGCTGGGGAGAAACTTTGAGAGAAAAGCCCTGTAGCTGCCAAAGGAGTAACATGTTGGATTACAGGTAAGCCACAGCCTCGTGGCAATGCATAGCTTAATAGAAATGGGTTAATAATTAAGAGAGAGCTAGCCAGTAAGGAGCCTGAGCCATCGGCCAAACATTTGTTAATTAATACAAGTCTGTGTTTGTTTGGGGCCAAATGGCTGTGGGACCAGAAACAGTGTCTACTAGCTGCGCGGGATGATAGTGGGAATCAACCCCCATGGGCACCAATTGAAGGCAGGGTTTAAATGAATCCACCAGACTCAATGATAAATAGGTATTTATTAGGGAAGCACTTACACAGATAGAGTAAATAACCATCATGGTCTTCCTGCTCCAGAAGATGCAGTCTCTGCCCTTCTGATGCTCTGTGAGCCAAATAAACCCTTTCCTCCTCAACTCGCTTCTTGATTATGTTTCATCACAGTAGTAGTAACTGACTAAGACAAGCATCATACCTTTATTCCAGCCAGTAATAAGAAATAAGTGGAGGACGCATCCTTTTTAAGAGTACACTATGGGCGGGCTGGAGAGATGGCTCAGAGGTTAAGAGCACTGACCGCTCTTCCAGAGGTCCTGAGTTCAATTCCCAGCAACCACATGGTGGCTCACAACCATCTACAATTCAATCTGGTGCCCTCTTCTGGCAGAACACTGTATGTATAATAAATAAATAAATACATCTTTAAAAAAAAAAAAGAGTACACTATGGGGCTAGAGAGATGGTTAAGAGCACTGGGTGCTCTTCTAGAGGACCAGGGTTCAATTCCCAGCACCCATGTGGCAGCTCATAACTGTCTGTAGCTCCAATTCCGGGGGATCTGGAACACCAATGCACAGAGAATAAAAATTATGAAGTCAGGAATAGTGGTACATATCTTTAACCTCAGCACTTGGGAGACAGAGACAGATGGATCTCTGCAATCTTTTGATTTGAGGTCAGCCTGGTCTATAGAGTGAATTCCAGAACAGCCAGAGCTCATGGTAAGACTCTGTCTCAAAAACAAAATAACAGCTCTCCCCTCTCCCCCCCCCACAAAGAATACTCTGTGGGAATTGGATATACATCATTTCTGTTCAGAAGTGGTGAAGATTTAATTACATGGCCATTCTTGCCAGCTGGAGGCAGAAGAGAATGTAGGGTTTCACTGTACAGTCCTACAAAGAGATGCAAGTCAGAAAATCTGCTAGCAAAAGAGGAGAGGAAAATGGGTGTAAGGGATAAATGACAGTGTCTATCACACAAGAATGTTGCTATTGGGTCAGACCCTGCACCAACCATCATTGTCTTACCCGATTGGCCAAAAATGCATTCTGGGTTTGGCAGGATTGAAATGGAATATAGATGCAAAAGTCTCTGGGACTCAATCCAAGTGACTCAATTTGGATTTGAAACCATTCCCCAAGGAAAACCCAAAAGCTCCATGGCAGGAAAAGGGATTCGCACTCAGAGGCTGCCTTCACGGAAACAGCTCTCATTGGTTCTGTGACTGGGATTCTGTTGTCTCATTCTACAGCTACAGCTCACCAGAATGAGAAGGGTTAAACCCTTATTTACATATTCCTGCCACTGGTGAATGCAGGGTAAGTTCTCCCTGCAGACTGTAGGTCCACCTGCTGAGACCCCAGCTCCAACCGTCACTCACTGGGCAGGTCATGTTTTCTCACCTTTGAAATGGGAATATAGGTTTGCTGTGAAATGAGGTGGCTTATGTTAGCATCTGGCACGTGTGAGTGGTCAACATACATACTATCTATGTCAGATGAACATGTTTTACGTTGCATTTTAGAATCACCAACTTCAAGCCAGCCTTAGTGGCCCAGACCCAGATTCTCAGCACATGGGCAGTGGTCAGGAGATTTGGGAGTTTAAGGCCACTTTTGGCAGCATAAGTTCAAGAACAAACTAGGTCACTTGAGACTACTTATAGCACCAGAGAATCCGGCACCTGACTCCTGTGGGTCCCTGAGCTCATGGGTACATACCCACACGCAGAAACATTAAAAAATAAAACCAGTTGACTAAAAACAAACAAACACCAAATCTATTTTCTCCAGCAATTCTGTAAGGAGTCTTGAGTAACATGTAAAAGTGAAGCCACTCACACACTAGTGAAATCAGAAAATAAAGCTAGTGGGGTGTTGGATAAGACCTCGGAGCCTTGGATTTTAAGCACAACTAGATGAATAATCTAAATCCAGCCACTATCACTGCTTGACAAATTCTATTTCCTACATCAAATAAGTAAAATAGGCGTGGTAGGCGCCCACAAAATGACTCGGAGGGCAAGGCACTGGCTTCCAAGCCTGACAAACCGAGTTTCATCTCTGTGTCCCACATGGAGGGAGGAGAGAATGGACACCCACAAATTATCTTGTGAACTCTACATGTGCACGCCTCCTCACCCCCAACCCCCATATTTTTAAGGGTTTAAAAAATAAAAAAATAGGCATAGCAGAAGGTCCTTAGAAGGGATGATTCTCTTATAATTAAAATCGAGCTGGGCATGATGGTACAAGCGCATAATCCCAGCATCCCACGAAGGAGGCTGACGGGAGAAGAACTGCTTTGAGTTCGAGGCCAGCCTGTGCCACGTAGTGAGCATAGCAAACCGGTACATAGGTACGAACTCTGGGAGAGCGGGCGAAAGGTGAGAATGCAAGGCGGAACCAAAGTGCGCGGTACGCCTGGAACTCGGAACCCACGGCTTGTGGCAAACGGCGCTGGGGGCCGGGCGGGCCCTGCGCATGCGCCGGGCAGGCGGCACTCTGCGTGCCGAATGTCCGGGCTGCGGACGCTGCTGGGTTTCGGGTTGCTGGTTGCGGGCTCGCGCCTGCCCCGGGTCGCAGGCCGGCAGAGTGTGTGCCGTGCAAGGCCTGCCTGGTGGGGAGCGCAGCCCCGGAGCTCGGAGACCATGGCGAGCGCGGCGGTGAAGTACCTGAGGTACGGCCGCGCTCTCCCACGGGGGCGGGGCGGGGCAGGCCGCGCCCCCGGCACCCAGGCGGCCGACTCAGGCCGGCGCTTCCCTCAGTCAGGAGGAGGCGCGGGCCGTGGACGAGGAGCTATTTAACGAATACCAGTTCAGCGTGGACCAACTGATGGAGCTGGCCGGGCTGAGCTGTGCCACCGCCATTGCCAAGGTAGGTGGCGCAGTGCAAAGCCTTTCAAGAACGGGGCGGGAGGTGGAGCAGGGGGCGGTGACTGCCAGGTCGTTTGCGCTTCTGCCTTCAGGCGTATCCTCCCTCGTCCATGACCAAGAGTCCCCCGACAGTCTTAGTCATCTGTGGCCCCGGGAATAACGGAGGGGACGGCCTGGTCTGCGCGCGACACCTCAAACTTTTTGTGAGTATGTGAACCTAGTCTTTGTGGAAAGTTACAAGGAGTTAGGGAGCAGAGATTTGAATGGCTACTTTCCTCTTCATCTAGGGTTACCAGCCAACTGTCTACTACCCCAAAAGACCTAACAAGCCACTCTTCACTGGGCTGGTGACTCAGTGTCAGAAAATGGACATTCCTTTCCTTAGTGAAATGCCCCCAGAGGTAGGTGACTTGGTATATCTCCCCAGTAAGTACTGCTCTGCCCCTCCCTTCTGCTCTCAGACCGAGCCGGCCTGCCCAATGTCTGCCTGCCATACAAGCTGCTCTCTGAACAGCAGTGGTGCGGGAGCCCCTCCATATTGTGTGCTCCAGACTTCCCAACACTAGACGTTCTAGGCAGCCCTACTCTGCAGTCAGCTGTCTCCCCTACCACGCACCCTAAACCTTTTCTGTAAATGCATGGATTTAGGGGTGGGAAATCTGCAATGTAAAGAACTAACTTATTCTGTAGATGAAGATACTGACACGCAGAGAAACGGTTTGCCCAGCATCTCAGAATTGGAGCAAGGCAAAGCTAAGACAGACTCGGTCCCTTCTGGCTTCCAGTCTCAGACTCCCCTACACTGTCAGCCCCTCCCTTCCCACTGGCAGACAGGCAGGCCGCAGGACAGAAAATATGCCTGGATTCAGAGTGGCCTTACTCGCTGCACTTTAGGAAACAATGGTCTGTGGGTGTCCTCCCTATGTGACAACAGCTCTGACATTCTTCCTGCTCCCCCACAGCCCATGATGGTCGACGAGCTGTATGAACTGGTGGTGGATGCCATCTTTGGCTTCAGCTTCAAGGGTGACGTTCGGGAGCCATTCCACAGCATCCTGAGTGTCCTGAGTGGACTTACTGTGCCCATTGCTAGCATCGACATTCCCTCAGGTGCTGGGACCCAGGCGGTTGGAGGACTGGGTTCTTGATCCACACTGTAGATCAGGTCTAAAATAATCTGAATGTACCTTTCCATGCCCCACGTTAGGCTGGGGAGCAAAGTTCATGCTGGCCCTGAGAGCATCTCAAGTGGGGACTGGGAGTTTCCCTCTTTAGGACTAGGCCTTCTGTACTTCCTCATCCTACTTTCTCTCTTCAGGATGGGATGTAGAGAAGGGAAACCCTGGAGGAATCCAACCAGACTTACTCATCTCACTGACGGCACCCAAGAAGTCTGCAGCCCATTTTGCTGGCCGATATCATTACCTGGGGGGCCGTTTTGTACCACCTGCTCTAGAAAAGAAGTACCAGCTGAACCTGCCATCCTACCCTGACACAGAGTGTGTCTACCGTCTACAGTAAGGGAGGTGGGTGGGCAGCTTTCTAATAAAGATTTGGTACCTTCTCTCTTCAAACTGGAGTCTTCTGGCCTTAATAATTGTCAGTAGATTGTACTTTCTTTGGGGAAACAGACCAGGCATTGGCAAGTAATGGAAAATAACTCCATTGCTACACCAGGTGTGATAGCCTTTACCAAGAATGGTTCTTACTTATTTGTGATACACAGGGAGGTAGATGACACCTCTAATCTCAGCTAAGCATTGTAGCAAGACCCCAAAAGGTTAACAGAAACAATTTCTTCAAAGGTCTCCAATGGCCATCTGAGTGTTTTCAGACCTTCTCATGCTGGAGATGATGTTAACTGGGAATGACCTATAGGCTTGGGGCCTTAGCTCTCATTTAAGCATGATTAGGAACAAGCAGTCTGGAAGGCTAACCCAGCCCATACAGCTAAATGTTTGTTTTTCTTAATCTTCACAGTCTGCAGGGTATGATAGTACAGGCCTTTGATCTCCACACTCTTAAGGTAGAGGCACGTAGATCTCTGTGAGTTCTAGGAAAGCAAGAGCTATATTAGAGAACTCCTGTCTCAAAAAAACCAACCAAAAAAAGTCTTTCACATAAGTCTACATTTTCAGACATTTAGCAGAGACTTCTTCAAATATAGAGTCCCTATCCTGATTCCTCTTCCCACCGCCCTTTAGCTGGTGAGCTGCTGGGCACCAGGGTCTGTTCTTTTTGGACAGGAAGTTGTACAGGAGACACCCACCCCTCCACTCGCGGTGAGTGTTGTGGCTGTCCTGAGCTGTCTGCAGAGGGGTGTGAAGAAGGCGGCCCTGACAAGGAGCCAGCAGAGCTGCACTGCAGACTTCAGTCCCTCTTCCGCTTCTTCTGTTTGCCTCTCTGGTGAGCATTGGCGCCTGCTCTGTCCTTTGGATGTGGCTGATCTCTTTCGCCTTCATTCTCTGCTTCCCAAGTCCTGCCGTCATCATCTTTACTGCTCACATCTGAGACCACCTCCTCACGGCACTGCTGTCTTTTCTTCTTGCCTCTTCTGACCCTTGTCTCTCCTTCTGCTAGGCCGTCCTTCCCTTCTTCCTCCCCACACGGCTGAGGCTGCTGGCTGCTTCTCCATGGGTGCGTGTCTGCTCCACCGCCCACTGCCTCTGGCCTGCCCGCCCTGCCTCTGTGTCCTTCATCCCAGGCGTCCATCTTCCCCTCTTCTTCATGGGGCCGCCGCCTCTTTTTCTTCCTTTTCCTAGCAGACTGCTCAGGTGGCTCTGTGCTCAGTTCTCCAGGCCCACTTGCTCCTTCAGCCTCTTCCTCCCCACTTCCTCCCGCCATCCCCTCTCTCTCGTCTTCCCGCCTCTTTTTCTTCTTCTTCCTGCTTTTCCTGAAGCTCCGAGGGTCAGCGTATTCTAGGAGCTCCTCACCTCCACTCTTTTCAGTCGTTGCGGCCTCTTCCTCCTCTTTATGCTTCCTCTTCTTTTTCTTTTTGTGGGAGGACTCCCTGTCGGTCTGTGGTGGAGCGGGGTCCACGTCCTTGGAGCCTTTGAGCCGAGCCAGGAAAGCCTGCTCTTGGGCCTCCAGGCGAGCAAGCTTGGCCTTCATTGTGATTCCAGCCCGGGCAGCCCTAAGAGAGGGGTGCAAGTCAGTAGGGACAGTACATAGAAAGCTGGGGACAGAGGGAGGGCAGCTGCCTGACTTGAAACACAAATTCGACAACAGGAATGATTTGCCTGGAAGAAAAATGTTTGGGAGGTGGCAGGGGCTATTCTAAAGCGTAGGCAGGAGATGGGAGACCCGAAAGGAACCACAACTTACTTGTGTGCTGTTCGCCCCTCGCAAGCTTTGAGTAGCATCTCATCAGTCAGACTGTAAGGGCAGATGACAAGTCAAACAGACGGTCCTAAAACGTACATCTTCACTATTGTTCAAAACCCGGCGCTTTTTGCAGTACTAAGAATACAAAGATTATCACAACCTAATTAATTCTACAACACCCTCCCTCCCTCAAGAGCCCAGTCAAGCATTAGGTTTACTCGTTCATTCTCTTAAGATCCCAAAGCATCTCCCACACGCCCTCAGTACAAAATAAAGTCTCACATCTTTGGAGGCTTGGGCTCATGGTTGTCATCATCACTGCCGCTCTCTCTGTCAGGCTTCTCCTCACCTGAGGTTAGTGTGGCTGTCTGGGGGAAAAGGATCGTGGAGATGGATGAAGCCAGCCCAACACCATTACCAACTTTCCTCCCTTCCAGAAGCCCCTGGGAACTCAGCGCCCAGTGAATCTGACAGCCCTCACCACTGTCCCCTTGCAGAGCCATGCAGCCTGCATGTTTCAATTTGGACAGGAGATGGGCCAGTTACTGGGAGGGGGCAGCCAGGGCCTCTCTGGCTCACAGCAGGCTGACTGAAGAACAATCAGGGAAGTGTTCCAAGGTAAGTTTTCATAGTGGAGTAGGTGCTAGTAACTGACAGTAGAGACAGCACTCCCATTGCCAGGGTTTTTGTTTAGCTAGATTAACAGAACCTATTATGGGCCATGTAGCTCAGGGTAGAGTAGAATGGTAACCAAATGGGTTCAGGGGGGAAACAGTTCATCTGGTAACAACACTTGATGTGCAAGATCTCCAGCACCCACACAAATGTTAGGCAGGCATGGCTACCCACCTGTGATTCCAGCACGCAAGAGGTGAAGATGGGGTGTCTGGAGCAAGCTAGCTAGGCACTAAACTGTACAAATTGGCAAGTGGATTCAACTGAGAGACCCTAGTTCAGTACATAAGATAGAGAAAGGTGCCTAATGTCAACCTCTGGCCTCTAAATGCACACATATGCACGAGTACCTGCACACGTAAGAGCCCATATATATGTGAACACATACACACGCACACAAAGAATGAGCTGGGTCCAGTCCAGATGTAATTATGTGGACAGTTAGATGAATGTTGCCTGTCCCATAGAGAACTCAGGCCAGGGTTTGGGGATGGTTTCTAGAAGGTGCTATGTATTATCTCAATCTGAAAGTCAAGAAACGTTAGCAGGTAAATGGCAAAGGCAGAACAAGTGGCAGAGAAAGGCAGGTGGGAGAACACAGCTTCTAGAAATAGACCTGCTTCTGCCCCGGAGAGAACAGGTGGAGAGAGACAAGAAGCATAACGGGCCATGGAGTCAATCTCATTAAAAAGGGAGGAGCCGGACAGTGGTATTGCGTGCTTTTAAGCCCAGCACTCCAGAGGCAGAGGCAGGCCAATCTCTTGAGTCTGAGGCCAGAGTGAGTTCCAGGACAGCCAGGGCTATACAGAGAATCTGTCTTGAAAAACAACAACAAACAAAAAGGCTCATGATACGATTTGTATTGGAGAGAACCCTATGGATGTTTTGTAGAACAGAGTCAACTGACTGCGGTGCAGAATTGGACCAGAGGCAGAGTATCTTAGAGGCAAGGACTGTCTGAACTAGTAGATGCCAACAGATGCAGAAACTGGGAAGGGTTGTTAGCTAACTTGGGAAGCGCCAAGCACAGAGTCTATGCTCACTAACTGCTGGCTTTCTATAGCTATAGTGAAAGAAGCTGGGGAGCCTGGGTTCTATTCTTTTTGCCTTTACTAGCCAGCTGTAGGTTCATCAGCAACCCACTTTCCAGCCTTTTGGGCACACTTGTAGAATAAAGACGGACTAGGTAACCTTCAGCATTCTTCTGGCTCCTAAATCTTTAGACACCGACACTTCCAAGCCAGCAGCTCCTGACTAAATGATGGCTCTCCCTCTACTGCTCAGTGCTGCCCTCGCAGATGGCAGGGCCCGTGGACCCTTAATATCCCCATTCTGGAGGAGGCATGGGCCTTAGTCTAAGCACAGTGAGGTTGGACACAGGATCTTGGTGGGCTAGGATGTTCTGGGAATTAGTTGGGCACACAAGGCAATTGATCAGGACCCAGGGGAAATAGGGAGCAGTAAAGAGCTGAACCTCTTACTCGGGTACCTTCACAAACTTCTGATACAGCAAATTGGACTTGGGGTGATTGCGCTGGGTGGTCTCCTTGGAAAGGCGCCTTATCTGCACTCCATCCTGTTGGAAGGCATCAGTGAGGAAGTAACATGCTGTACCTCCCTGCCCCATCCCAGATGTACCCGACAGGCTCGTACCTTCCCTGTGTCCACTACCAAGCTGGCTGCAGTCTTGTTGAAGAGATCACTCCACCAGTGGTCTGTAAACTCCTTGGCAGGGTCGTGTCCCACCTCCAGGCGAATAATAAATGAAAGTCAGTCTGAGCACCGCCCACCGGCCCTCATGGGCGTCCCTTCCTACTTATGTGATCACCTCCCAGCTTACCCCATGGGTATCCTGCTTCAGTGTCACCTTGAGGGCCTGGGTGATGCCATTTTCTCTCCGGCCCAGACCCTTGCCTGTAGAGGAAGTGAATGACTTAATTTGTAGCCTGCCCTGAGCCCTCACATGTCTTCCTGGGCCAACTGCTATTCCTTTCACTGATCACTAGGTACACTGTACCCTTCAGAAATCTGTGACACTCCATTATTTCTAATGCTGCTCCACACGGGCCTCTGTCTGGCCCGGGATAATCTTTTTTTTTTTTTGTCATATTTCCTCCTTACTGCCTCCTTCAGTCTGCCAGCTACTTGTCCCTCACTACTCCCATTATCCAAGAATGAGGATCTCATCCATTCTCCCCTTTTCCAGCTAGGCCAGAAAATTTATGCTTCTAAGGTTTTCTCTTTAAACTAGTTTCTCCTCTGGTTGAATTGACACGGGGCAGAGGAAATGAGGGAGCTGGGAGGACAAGGAAGGGCCCTAGAACACCTTGAGTCCATCCATGTTTGAGCAGCTGCTCTTCAGCAAACTTCATCCCACGACTCTTGACCTCTGGGGTGACACTCATGGTGCACAGAGGCTCTGTCCTCAGGCTCTCACTAAGGAAGATGTGGCACCATCCTATGAATAGGAAAAGAAAGGACTGGAGATGCAGCTTAGACAGCAGAGCGCCTGTGTGACATTCCTAAAACCCCAGGTTTCAACCCCCACGTATAATACTAGCACTTGGAATGTGGAGGCGAGAGGATCAGAAGTTCATATCACCCACAACTGAATAGAAAGGCTGAGCAGTAACCTGTGCTATGAGACCCTAAGTGAGTGCAACAGAAAGGGTGTAGTGTGAGCCATGGCTATTTTAGTAGGGAGAATGCTTGCCAAGCCTGCATGAGGCCTGGGTTCAACTCCCAGCACCATTGACTGGCCTTGGCTCCTAAACTACAGGATGATCAGTGGGGAAAGGTGCTTCCTGCCAAGCCCATGACCTGAGTTTGAACCTACAGACCTACTCAGTGGAAGAAGGAAGAGAACTGCCTTCCACAGGCTGTCCACTTCAAAGAGCAGAGTGAGACAGATTTACACAAGAACGCTTCAGCGGGTGCTAAGATCCCAGGCTTTCACCGGCACTGCTAGAACAGCCCTAAACACCATTTCAAAATGGCCCCCTTTTATGGACTGCACTCTTGGGAAACACACAGCAACATAGCAAGTGACACACAGGAGCTTCTAGACTTTGGGGAAAGGTCTTTGGATCATTAGTCACTGGTGTGGAAACTTGGTGGGATCAGAGTCTGCAGGGAGAACTTATACACACACACACACACAAGCAGTGTGCTGACCATGCAGGAACCACACACACACACACACACACACACACACACACACACACACACACACACACACACGTCAAGCAGTGTGCTGACCATGCAGGAACCACACCGGGCAGGCCCAGCACTTGCACTGTGAAACCCTCCAGCTGTGAAACACCGCTCAGACCATGACTGTAACACTAGCTCCCAAAGGCTGACTTCAGAGAGACTCAAACTCAAGACTGAACCAGCAAGCCAACCTAAAGCCAGACTGCTTCCATACTCTCTTTACCACACCCTCCCTCCCCACATTCCTCTCTGATACCCGGTGTTAGTTTAACCAGCTCTGTCCTGTTCCCCTTCTCTCTCACAGAGAACACACACTGGCCAGGTCTACAGGGCCTTCTCCCAGAAGCTGGGATTGTTCTTGGTTATATGACTGTGTTTCTCAACCTTTCTCCTCTCCGTCAGCCTTTAGTCTTTACCCCAATGGGAGGGCCTCACCCCAGCCTACCATCCCTTCTTCGATATATTTCCTCCCTACTCCTCTGCCACCCAAGACTAAATCACGTTTTTACCATGGGTTTTCCCCCTATGCACAATGTTCTGTTACTTCCTAAAATGATTGGTGCTTACCTGGCTATTACTGTACTTCATAGTAGGCTTACTCTTTGTACTGTTTGTACAGACAATATTCTAGTTTCAGGGGAGCAACAGGGATAGAGCTGGATGTCCTGATCTAGCAGAGGAAAGCAACACCTCAACACGACAACAGCCTAGGCCCTCTTGAACACTGGAAACACTTCTGACAGAATAAAGATGTTTTCAGAAACAATTCTTCTTTGCACTTTAGCTTAGTTTAGTTGTATGAGTGTTTTGCCTGCATGTATGTGTACCATGTGCATACAATGCTCTCAGAAACCAGAAGAGGGTGTTAGATGTTCTGGAGCTAGAATTATAAAAGGTTGTGAGCCACCATGTGGGTGCTGGGAGCTAACTCAGGTCCTTTGGAAGAGCAGTCCTGGCCATCTTTCCAGCCCACTGAATAAATTCCACCAATGACTCAATTCCTGAGGCCTAAGTCTCAAGAACACAAGACACCAAGGCAACATAACGCCTCCAAAATGTAAGATGCCAGGAGATAAAAGGTGGCCAGCAGTTTAAGACAGGACTTTAAAATCAACAGTACCACATAAAAAGTCAGGCACAGTGGTGTGCACTTGTAATCCTAGTGCTGGGAGAGGGAGACAGGAAGATCTCCAGGGCTTTGGAGACTTGTCTCAAAAAACAGGTAGCTAATTCCTGAGAAATTAGCCGGGCAGTGGTGGTGCATGCCTTTAATCCCAGCACTCGGGAGGCAGAGGCAGGCGGATCTCTGTGAGTTCCAGGACAGCCTCCAAAGCCACAGAGAAACCCTGTCTTGAAAAACAAAAACAAAAAAACAAAAATTCCTGAGAAATCAGGCCTGATGTTGACCTCTGGCTTCCATATGCACACACACCCATGCCCACACATGCACTCACACACATTTGAATAAAACAAACCAGCAGAAAGCCCCAGAGGCTGGAGAGATGGCTCAGTGGTTAAGAGCACTGACTGCTCTTCCAGAGGACCTGGGTTTGATCCCCAGCGAACACATGGCGGCTCACAGCCTTCAGTTCCAGGGGCTGACACCCTTTTCTGGTCTCCTCAGGGAACCAGGCACACATGTGGCACAGACATACAAGCCCGCAAAACACCCTCACACACAGGTTCTTTTCAGGGTTATTATTTATTAATTGAATGAAGTCACTAAATCTGAGGCAGCTCATGACACAGCAATGAAGCTAGTGCACAGGATGGCTGACTAAAGGCTATTACAGAGGTTACTGAGATGCATACAACGACGGTCTGGGGCCTGGAGAGATGGCTCAATGGTTAAGGCACTCGCTGCTCTTGAAGAGACAGGGTTTTGGTTCCCAGCAAGCACAAGGCAGCTTACAACTCCCCACATCAGACATGTATCAGATGTACGTACACGTAAGCAGGCAAAACACTTGTGCACTTAAAACTTAATAGAGCAGTCCCGGCAGCCCTGCGTGGTGATGCAAAGGACACAGAGACCAGCAGATCTCAGTGAGGGAGGCTAGGTCTACATACTGAGTTCCAGGACAGACAAGGGGCTACATTGAGACCCTATCTCAAACAGATATAAAAGACAGGTAAATTCAGTTCTCAAATCGTGACACAGGCAGGGCCCTTTGGGCTGAGACCTTCCCAGAGGCCCATGAGGTCACACTCTTTACTCAGAAATCCTCCATGTCACCTGTCCTCTCTTTTGATTGCACAGACTAAAGTTTCCCAGGTACCACATGAGTGACAACATTGCTCTGTTGAGAGAATATGCCCCGTGTACTCTAGGGACTGGGAACATTCTCTAACTTCTTCTGCATAGCTAAAAGCCAGCAGAGCTCACAAAGCCTTTTAAGGGGGGTGGGGGTGGCAGGCATGTCAGGTATAAAGAGGAGCAGATTCAGGACAAGTTACATTTCTATCCACCTTTCCACTAGGAAGGATGATTACGCGAAGCCCAAGTGATAGCTGAATCTTGAGCACAGAAACAGAAAAACCCCTTTTGTTTTTGAGACAGGATCTAATTACTGGCTGAACGACCTGACTGTTTCTCTCTTCCGAGTGCTACCTTGCTTCTTGATATGGAAACACAAGTAAAATTTAGACACTGCGGCCACCTTAAAACTGCCATCTCTCAGAAATTCTCTGATTATTTTAACAATAATAACCGTCATACTCCACACTCGTAGCGCATCGACTCAATACCAGCCTGCTATTAACTGCTGTACGCGGGTCACCTCTCTGTGCCTGCCAACGGCACTGAAAACTTCAGTTACTCGCTGAAACCAAACTGGCCAGGACATCCAGGACTGGTGGAGAGGAATTTCAGAAGCTGCTACTCTGGGGCTCTTCCAGCTCGCTGCGCTCTCGCCTGCTCCCACATCCCATTCCTCGACACAGCCATTCGAAGCCACACTCCCCGGAAGTCGGAGACAAGTTTTATTTCCCAGCCCTTGACAATTGCGGCAAGAATGCGTTCAGCGTTTCTGAACCGACTGCCACAAGCCGGAATCGCTTTCACCCCCTTGCAATGGGCAGGCGTAGGCAGACGCTGCAAGCACACGCTGAGGCGCTGTCCCCGCTCAAGAGCCACCCGTTTGCAGCGGCCTAGAGGGCTGGCCGTCGCCTTTCCACAGCCGCAGAGGCAGCAGGTGGAACCACTGGCGGACCCTCGCCTCAGCTCCCGCCCCCGGGGAAAGCAAACCCCTTACCTTCAGTGCGCGTTCCGAGGAAGCACGTGTCACCCCGACTTGGGTGTCGCCATCTTCCCGGAAGTGCTCTTCGGTCCTTCTAGGACACTAAAACCATAGAGGTGCCGGGACAGAGGCCACGCTCCCCCTGGTTGCCACGGAAACTGGGTAGTTTCCCGGCTAAGCGCAAGCTTCCTCCTCTCAGTCGCTGGAAGCACAGGCTCTAACCTCGGTTCCGGGTCTCTCTCGGCGCAAGCTCCCTGGTTAGGTCTCAGGGCTCGGGGAGACCCTCTGTCTCAACGTGAGACTTGTCAGGTCGATGGTTCTGGGAGCTTTCCATGTATTCGCAAACCTCGTTCAATCGAGAGTCCCGAGAACTCTCCCCAGCTCCTGCAAGACTTGCTCAGGAGAAAGAACTTTCCCCAGTCTGGGGACGCACTCCTACTTTCCAGCGCTTTTGGTCTATAGGAAACCCAAGGAATGGCTCCAGATGACTGTTTTTACCTGGTTCTGCACCGACCGTAGGTCCAAATTACACACACTTAATCTCTCTGTGGTCTAACCTAAGGAAACCTCCATTTGTGAGACCTATATCAGCCTTACTTGTTAGATTCGCAGTCCAAATCTGGCCTCAATTGGACAGTAGCCACCACGGGCCCAATTTGAAAATTCTGTTTTAGTATCTACACTGATTTAGATAAATTCACAAGACAGAATGGAGTAGGTCTAAGACCCCTCCCACCACAGAAATCCAAGTTCATCTTAACCTTTCTGATGATCCCTGCTACTCGATTTGCAACCTCTCCCAGAGCACAACTTAATTAACTTCCACCCCCCCCCAAGGCTCCTGGAGTCATTGGGAAATGGGAAATGAGCCATAAAATCAAGATTATGTCCCAACTGGGACAGCTTGTCACAAAGGGCAGACAGTGACTGCGGAAACCATGGACCAGAGCTTCAAAATGGAAACAGGGCAGTCTCCCTCCATTTCTTTGCCCACCCCAACCCCAGAACCCAGGAATTCAGCAGCCTTGACAGCTGAAATTCGCATTCCTTGACTGTTCTGGGCCGCCATGGAATGCAAAGCTAGTATCATTATGCAAGGCAATTTTGTTTCTGTTCAGGAAAAGTCCTTGGACGTGTGGCTTCAAATCGTTCTTGGGACTCCTTTTTGCCTTGTGTTGGTCTGCCTTTGTTTCTGACCACCAAGCCTGGATACTCTTGCTTGTATTTTTATAGCTTTCTGTTTAATGGTCTGTAGGTTATTTTATCGACAACTTGAAGTCCTCCTAAGATAAAAATACTTGTGTCTTTCAGGTTGTCTGCCTCCATCTGCAGACACACACAAACCGGCTAAGGATTAAAAAAGATCAGATGTCTAAAACAAACAAAAAATTCAGTAACTCCAGCTGCGCGATTAAAATAATCACAGCTGGCCTTAAGGCAGACAAGGTCATCAGGCCTTTACCTGAGTGGCTGAGCTCTCCTCCCAGCTGGTTGTATGTGATTAGGGCTTATGAGATCAAAAGGCTCTTTGGGAAAACTTGGGTGTTTCTGCCAAGACTGAGAATGGGGAGAGCCTTCACCTCTGCAGCAATGGTGATGCTGTTATACGTGCTGAATGGAGGCCCCATTAACTAACACTTTCCCTTACAACAAATGGGGGGGAAATCAAGTAAATTTTTTTTTTTTTTTTTTTTTTGGTTTTACGAGACAGGGTTTCTCTGTATTGTTTTGGAGGCTGTCAGTCCAGCCCGGCCTGGAACTCACAGAGATCCGCCTACCTCTGCCTCCCAAGTGCTGGGATTAAAGGCATGCTCCACCACCACCTGGCGAAATCAAGTAAATTTTATATATATAAATTAAAACAACTAAATATAATTACAAATGCCTATCTCTATAATATTTTTCCTTCTTGATTCTTTCTGTGTTTACAAAAATGGTCTCCCATTCAAGCCAGTGGATATCTTTGAAGCTTTTGCTGAAATATAAACTTGCTTCCTCTCAGGACCTGTGCAACCACAGGGTGATACTTTAAAAAACTGGAAAAAAATGGGAGTTGGAGAGATGGCTCAGAGGTTAAGAGCACTCTTCCAGCGATCCTGAGTTCAATTCCCAGCAACCACATGGTGGTTCACAACCATCTGTAACTGAGATCTGGTGTCCTCTTCTGGCCTGCAGCCATATGTGTGGGTAAAACACTGTATACATCATAAATAAATCTTAAAAAAAAACTGAAAAAATTCCAACCAAGGAAAAAGTTAACCTAAAACTCGTAACAACAACAGCAAAAAAAAAAAAAAAAGGTTAATAATTAAAAGTCTATGTACAGGTGATCTTAATTTGCTATAGCATGCCATATTTGTAACTTGGATTCAACTCCTGTTTAAGAAAATAGAAAGAAATAAATATGTTTAAGAAAAATGTAACAAATATAAAATATAAGGTGATGTTTTTTAGAAAAAAGGGTTAAAATCTTTTAAATAAGGATGGATTTTTTTTTATATAATGAGACAAAACTTTGTCCTAAAAATGGAAAAATAACAGATGAAAACAAAGGTAGGAAAGTTAAAACCAAGACTCAGGAGATCTGAGGCAGCTACCTGAGGATGGACCTAAGATGACAGGAGTCTGATGACTGAGCTTTATAACCCTATAAATCCTGAGTTTATATCGGTCTGTTTGTATCAACTGACATAAGATGTATGGGGTTTTTTTTGTTTTTGTTTTTGTTTTTACGAGACAGGGTTTCTCTGTATTGTTTTGGAGGCTGTCAGTCCAGCCCAGCCTGGAACTCACAGAGATCCGCCTGCCTCTGCCTCCCGAGTGCTGGGATGAAAGGCGTGCGCCACCACCGCCCGACTAAGATGTATGTTTTAAAAAGATGTATGTTTAGGCACTCATGCCTTTGCTAACTGTTACACTTTAGCTATTTGAAGAAACTGAGCTATATATATTTTAAAACACTGTAATATTTTATAAGGATATACCATAAGAGGATTAGGAATTGAGGTTCCCAATTCCCCATGGACTATATTTAGTCATGATGGTTGTAATAGAGAAGACCCAATAGATGACTTTGAACTATGCTGGCTAGTGAAAAGTGTCTTGTGCCTTTCCAAAAAACCAGTGGCTTTGTGTCTTGTGAATGACCATGACAAAAATCAGCACTCTTGCTAATGCCTATGGCAAAACCTGCCAAAGATTGCTGGGGTGGTTTTCTTGCCTGTTCTTTCCCCCCACTAAAGACAAAACTGCCCTACTTTCTTAACTATGTGCTCAGTAAAAATTATAATAGTACTAACAGTCTCACTTTTTTTTTTTTTTTTTTTTTTTGGTTTTTCGAGACAGGGTTTCTCTGTGGCTTTTTGGAGGCTGTCCTGGAACTAACTCTTGTAGACCAGGCTGGCCTCGAACTCACAAAGATCCACCTGCCTCTGCCTCCCGAGTGCTGGGATTAAAGGCATGAGCCACCAACGCCCGGCATAAAGGCCTTTTACATGCTGTGGAGAAACTCTGGCTGTGGTGGACCTTCCTCCCTTTCGCCCCAGGCCAGATGCTGTTCCGCACATTAGTCTATTTTCCCCTGTCGCCTTTCTTCGGTGCTCTGTAACCCCCAATACTTCTGCTAGCTCACTTTGGTGTTGCATTCCCAGCAGTGGGACTAGTCACTGTCACTCTGCGTCTTAGTCACTATACTATAGGTCTACATAAAAGTGATCACTAATAATCACGTGTCAGAGCCAATACTAGGCTGTCTGGAAATCTCCTCTGCCAATGCCATTAGTCCAAAACTCTTCACTTTAGCCTTATGTATATTTTTTGGACAAAGACAAACTCAGCCACATTCTTTCCCGGACACAAGAACTGTCTCTAGGCCACTTACTAATATTCTCCTCCTCTGAAACCTCTTGAGCTGAACCTTCATCGTCTACATTGTTTTCAGCACCACTGTCTTCTCTGCTCCTACTAGCATGGCCCATTAACACACACACACACACACACACACACACACACACACACACACACACATACACCGCTTTAAGTGTTCAATTGCTTTCCTAATCCAAACTCTCAAATTCCACAATCTACCAACTAACAGCATGGTCAGACCCGTCACAGCAATACCCCAGTCCCTGCTACCAACTTCTGTCTTAGGGTTTCTATTACTGTGAAGAGACAATGGCAATTCTTATAAAGGAAAGTATTTAATTGGGACCTGCTTACAGTTTCAGAGGGTTAGTCCATTATCACCATGGCAGAGAGCACGGTGGTACACAGGCAGACATGGTACTAGAGAAATAGCTGAGAGTTCTACATCCAGACCTGCAGGAAGAGAGATTCACTGGACCTGTCTTGGGCTTTTGAAACCTCAAAGCCCACCTCCCCCAGTGGCACACCTTGCTAATCCCACCAAATGAGAGCAAAGGCAACTGACCCTAAATTTTGGTTAAGCAAGCTTTATTTTTCTGACCGTCTGTCTCCCTAAAAACAGGGCTTGAGAGAATAGCCCCAAACACAGGAGAAATAGGGTTTTTATAGCCTCAAAACTTCAAGGCTAGGGGGTTTCTAAGAGTTTCTGGTTATGTCAGAAATTTGGCAGAACATCTCAAAATTATTTGGCAGGACATCTAATCTTATCAGGGTAGAAGATGTGAAGTCAAATTCCAGAAAATGGGTCAAGATATGCTCAAATTTAAGTTTTATAGAAAACAGTAATGAACTTCTTTTGACCTTTTAGCAAGATGGTTTCTAATCCTAAAATGAAGTCAGGCTGGTCCATCAACTTCCTTGAACAAGGTCATACCTCTCAATCCTTAGTGATCAGGGAGTAGAGTCACTCTGCTCCTGAGACCCTCAACTAACCCCCCCCAAATCACCCTCCTCACCGTGGAGACTATGCCTATGGGACTCTCCCATCAGCAGAGAGAAGCTTCCCACCCAAAGCTCCAGCCCTATTCCTGGAACCTCTGTCATTCCCTTATTTTTTTTTTTTTTTTGGTTTTTTTTCGAGATAGGGTTTCTCTGTGGTTTTGGAGGCTGTCCTGGAACTCACTTTGTAGACCAGGCTGACCTCGAACTCACAGAGATCCATCCGCCTGCCTCTGCCTCCCGAGTGCTGGGATTAAAGGCGTGCGCCACCAACGCCCGGTTTATTTTGTTTTGTTTTTCAAGACAGGGTTTCAGCTGGGCGTTGGTGGCGCACGCCTTTAATCCCAGCACTCGGGAGGCAGAGGCAGGCGGATCTCTGTGAGTTCGAGACCAGCCTGGTCTACAAAGTGAGTTCCAGGACAGCCTCCAAAGCCACAGAGAAACCCTGTCTCAAAAAAACAAACAAACAAACAAACAAACAAACAAAAGACAGGGTTTCTCTGTGTATAGCATTGGCTGTCCTGTAACTCATTCTGTGACCAGGCTGGCCTTGAACTCACAGCAATCTGCCTACCTCTGCCTCCTGAGTGCTGGAATTAATGGCCTTGCAGCGCCACCACCCAGCTCTCTGACCCATTCTTTATCTTTTAAGAGCTGATGCATGTTATAATAGGCCCTGAACAAGCTGGCAGAGTGACCAGGACCTTATGTTGAAACTCCAGTCCCTCCCCTCCCACTGTCACTGCTTCACTCAGTCACCCACTGTCACCCGCATCCTGGTAGCTGGGGCACGGCAGTTTCTAAAAATAAAATGAGAAAACAACTACAGAACTCCAGGCTTACATCTTCGCCCCAGCAGCTGCTATAACTTCCCATTCACCAGCCCCCCCCAAAAAACTCCGAGTATCTCCTTCCCTCTTCTGCAGGATCCACTAGAGAAACAAAACTGATAGAATAAATTATATAACACATATATACGGTTTATTGTTATAGTATTTATCATGCATATATATGATTTATTAGAGTGGCTTACAGGCTCTGGTCCAGCCAGTCCAACAATGGCTGTCTCTAACATAAAGTCGAGAATCCAATAGTTGTTCAGTCCACGAGGCTGGATGTCTCCGCTGGTCTTCAGTATACATAGGCTCTAAGGAAGCAAACCAATGAGGCAAAATCAGGAACAAGCAGGCAAACAGCAAAAGCTCTCTTCTTCCATGTCCTTTACATAGGCCGCCACCAGAAGGCGTGGCCCAGTTGAAGGTCTCTTCCCACCTCAAAAGATCCAGATTTAGGGTGGGTCTTTGTAGGAGTGCAGGCATGGCCTGGCACAGATGCTCCTGAGTATTCCCAGAAGTCAGAATACAGAATTCTGAAGTAGCTGCTCAGCTGCGCTCTCCACGCCTCCTTTTACGAGCTTGTTCTCCACGGAGACCCTGGTGATCTGAGTGCTCATAGTCCCATGGTGCTCGCCAGTCACGGTGGATAAGCTTCCACTATTACATACAGTGGCTGTCCGTGTGCAATAAAGCAGACACTGTCCCCTGAAACCCTCTCTGGAGGGGTTCATCTCCGTTTGCCAACCCGTGGGCATCGCAGTCTTGTTGGGAGACACCTCAGTAACAACCGCAGGTCTTCCCACTTCAAATGATCCAATCAAGAACAATCTCTCACAGGTGCACTCAGCGGTTTGGGTTTTAGTTAATTCCACAGCTAATCAAGTGACAACCAAGAATAGCCATCATGCCCACTGTGTCTGCCCCTCACAGTTTTGAAATGAACAGCCCCACCCTCGCTGAGGAGAATTCAGCTCTTCAAAAGAATGCAGAGAAAGAAGGAACAAAATGGGCACGTGTGTTTCTTTTGGCCATTCCACCTGGCCTGGGAATGAGGGCATCTCACTTGCAGACCTTACTTCTGGGTTTAAGACTGACCTGTCTGCATCTGGGAGTGTGCACTAACACACAGGGAAAACGGCACAGGCCTGAGGTGGCAAAGCTAGGTGTAGTGTCTCAAGCCTGCACAGGAGCCGCACAGGAGCTGCAGCAGGAGGATTTGGGGGCTACGGCCTGCCTAGCTACAGAAACAGCAAGTTTCGAGGCCCAGGAGAACAAGGTGGCCCAACAGAATGAGAGGTCAAGATCTTAAATTATCTACAGGGGCAGTTGGACAAAAACGTGGTTTAATGACCCACTTAACGGCTTCGTCCAGCCAGAAGCAGCCGCCAGGATGGACGTGTTTCTCATGATCGGGCGCCACAAGACCACCATCTTCACGGACGCCAAGGAGTCGAGTACGATGTTCGAGCTGAAGCGCATGGTCGAGGGCATCCTCAAGCGGCCGCGGGATGAGCAGCGGCTGTACAGCGGCTCCTTGATGATGGAAAAACTCTGGGCGAGTGTGACTTCACTAGCCACACAGCAAGGCGGCACGCCCCAGCCGCAGTGGGCCTGGCCTTCCGAGCAGATGCTGCCTTTGAAGCCCTGCGCATTGAGCCCTTTTCCAGCTCTCCAGAGCTCCCAGATGTGATGAAGCCACAGAATTCTGGAGGCAGTGCCAATGAACAAGCTGTGCAGTGAGGGCCCTGGGCCCACCCCTTTAGATACACACTTCCTCAATAAAAGATTTGGATGCTGAAAAAAAAAATGACCCACTTAACACAGCAGTTGCAAGCAGATGGTGGGTGATGTGGTTGATCATAAACAAAATTGAGTCATTAAATCTTCAACAGCCCTGAGGAGTGTTCCTGGACCTCTTGGGCCTTTGCTAGTTGGGTGAGAACATGATGTCAGGAAGCAGCCCCGTGTCAGGGAGCTCTTTCCTCCCAAAGCCTCCTTCAGGCTCTAGGTTCCGAGCAGGTACTGGAGGGCTCCTGATGGAGAGATCAGCGTGGAGAGCAGGCTGCTGCATCCCAGCCAGGAGGCTGAGGTCTGGCTGCGCCATCTCTTGCCTTCCTCTCTTTTCTTCCCTACTTCCTTCCACCTGAGAAGGTGCACCGTTGTGGACTAGTATCAAATCTCTCCATCGAGGTGCCTGCCCCCCCTTCTCCTTTTCCTATTTGAATCCTCACCCTAACTAATCCTTTAAAGCTCCCTGAGAGGAAGCATGATGTCCTCAGGGCTGATTCTCAGGCTCACCCCTTAGTGTGGCAAGATGCGGCTGTGGGGGTCACTGAAGTGGAGGGAGGCCTGTCAATCACACCCACCCTCTCTCAGCCCCCACCGCGGCATCCTGCCAGCCTTTCCCGCAGTTCATGGTGGCAAGCTGGGACTGCACTTGACTTTACCACCTCCGTCAAGTTGGAAGCTGTGGACAGGGAATGGAGTGCCGAGGCCACGCCTCTCCTGGGAAGACCTGGGGAGAGATGCTAACTCAAACCGGAGCACTCACCTGCTTCCTCTCCACAGGGTCCAGAGAACTAAGCTGACAGTAGACGTGAGCACACACCCCGGCGGTTCATCAGGTGCTCTTTCCTCAGTCTTCCACGGAGGCCTCATTCTGCAGCTACAGTAGTTCTCAGGGGCCAAACCCAACCCTTCTACGCTGGAGAATCTCAGTGCACAGCGAGAGAGGGACCAGCCACTCAGAGGAGGGGTTGCAGCTCGGGGCGGGGCACGCTAGACTTGCTCCTCCTCTCCTGTGTCTGCCTCGGGAGGAAGCCAATCAGATGCAAAGGATCGGGTTGTCCTGAACCACGAGACAGTAGGCTAGTTGTCTCTACACTCGGGAGGGATGGATAGGTCCCAGTAGGAGTGACGCGCTTAGCTGCAGGATTGGGGGTAGGGTGGGGGTGGGCGGCTTATAAGAGAACCGGCAACTTGGCCCTAAGGAGTGTGTGACCCGCTGAGCCTTTTGTCAGGTATTCCCAAATGATATTCTGAGGGCTCATCAAACTTAGGGGACACCAAGAGAGGAGCAGAGGGTTAGCAGAAAAATTGGAGGGCTGGAGAGATGTCTCAGTGGTCCAGAGAGTCTGGCGCCCCCTTCTGACCCGTGCAGGCAGCAGACGTGCATTGCTGCACAGACATTCGTGCAAGTAAACACCCCACACATTTAAGGGGGGAAAAGGCTGGGTGTGGTGTCGAATGCCTTTAATCCCTGTGAAAGGGCTGGCCCTGCCAAAGCAAGCAGGACACACGCAGGAGATCAGTGCAAGAGGGCTACTGGGGAGGGGAGAGCAGAAGAGTGAAGGGCAGTGTTGGAGTGGGGACATGAGAGAGGAAGACGAGACCAAGAGAGAAAAGAGACAAGGAGGAGAGAGAGGCTAGAGAGACGAGAGACACGGGAAGAGGCAAAAAGAGCAAGCTGTACCTGGAGGGCACGTTTAAAGGGTGCGCATGTCACCTGGAGGGCACATTTAAAGGGTGCGCATGTCACCTGGAGGGCACGTTTAAAGGGTGCGCGTGTCACACAGCTGATGGTGATGACAACTGCTTTGGTGGCAGAGGCAGGCTGCTGTTGCTGCAGCATCAGAAACTAACACCCAGCACTCGGGAGGCAGAGGCAGGTGGACCTCTATGAGTTCAAGGCCAGCCTGGTCTACAGAGAGAGTTCCAGGCCAGCCAAGGTTGCATAATGGCACCCTGTCTCAAACAACAAAAAGGTGGAAAGTTTAAGTCATAACTCAGATTTGGTGGGCAGCATTGTCTTTCTCATCTCTTCGATGTCCGGGCCCCTGGTCTAACGGTAGAAAACTCTTAAGATCTTGAAGCTACCAGATGTGGTTGTTCAGCCGAGAAAAAGATGGCTAAGAAGTAATCGGAAAGGACTAGAAAGATTGCTCAGTGGTTGGAGCCTGAACCGCTCCACAGAGGACCTGAGTTCAGTTCCCAGTAGACACATCTGGGAGCTCACAACTGCTTGACAACTCTAGCCCCGAGGGCCGGACACTTATGGCCTCCTCAGTAGCTCACCTGCGCTTTCTTATACACAGACACATGCGTGACTAAATGACAAATGAAAATTTTACTTTTATTCTGAGACAGGCTCTCTCTGTGTTCTGGAACTTGCTATGTAGACCAGATTGACTTCAAACTCCAAGAGAGCTGCCTGCTTCTACCTTGAGTGCTGGGATTAAAGGCATGTGCCATCACTCCTAGCTAAAAATAATAAAGTCTTTGAAAAGAAAGAAGAGGGCTGGCCGGGCGATAGTGGCGCACGCCTTTAATCCCAGCACTCGGGAGGCAGAGGCAGGCGGATCTCTGTGAGTTCGAGGCCAGCTTGGACTACCAAGTGAGTTCCAGGATAGCCTCCAAAGCCACAAAGAAACCCTGTCTCGAAAAACTAAAAAAAAAAAAAAAAAAAGAAAGAAAGAAAGAAAGAAAGAAAGAAAGAAAGAAAGAAGAGGGCTGGGGCTGGAGAGACGGCTCAGGGGTTTAGAACACTGATTGGGCTTCCAGAGGTCCTGAGTTCAATTCCCAGTGAACCACATGGTGGCTCCAAACCATCTGTAATGAGATCTGCTGCCCTCTTCTGGCATGCAGACATATAGGGAGGCAGGATGTTGTATTTATAATAAATAAATCTTTTAAAAAAAGGAGGCGGAGAAGAAGAAGAAGAAGAAGAAGAAGAAGAAGAAGAAGAAGAAGAAGAAGAAGAAGAAGAAGAAGAAGAAGAAGAAGAAGAAGAAGAAGCTTGGAAGGCTGTCATGGGGGCAGGTCCTCCTCACTGATAGAAGCCAAAAGTCTTAGTCTTGCCGGGCGTTGGTGGTGCACGCCTTTAATCCCAGCACTCGGGAGGCAGAGGCAGGCGGATTTCTGTGAGTTCGAGGCCAGGCTGGACCAACAGCCTCCAAAACAATACAGAGAAACCCTGTCTCATAAAAACAACAACAACAAAAAAAGTCTTAGTCTTTTTTTTTTTTTTGGTTTTTTTGAGACAGGGTTTCTCTGTGGCTTTGGAGGCTGTCCTGGAACTCGTTCGGTAGTCCAGGCTGGTCTCGAACTCACAGAGATCCGCCTGCCTCTGCCTCCCGAGTGCTGGGATTAAAGGCGTTCGCCACCAACGCCCGGCAAAAGTCTTAGTCTTAATCTGAGTTGTTGGTGGACGCCTGTTTGTATGGTGTACACAGGTGAAAACAACACCAGGTGAACACCTCAGTTGTGTGCTCTGTATGTGAACTGGAACTCTGTCTGCAGGCATAGGAGGAGGGAGGCTGGGGAGACTGGAGAGGAAGAAGTAAATTTCCGCCCAAGAGATTAAGGATCTTCCTCTTCAGAAATTAATTTTTATAATCTTATTATTTCACATGTGCGGGTGTTTGCCTGCATGTGAGTTGCACATCATATGTGTGCACTGATGCCTACAGCGGCCAGAAGAGGGCATCAGATCCCCTGGGACTGGAGTTACAGCTGTGAGCTGCCATGTGGGTGCTGGGAATAGAACCCAGGTCGTCTGGAGGAACAGCCAGCGCTCTTAATCTCTCCAGCCCTCTCTCTGACCCTGTAGCTCAGGCTGGTCTCAAACTCATGGCAATCCTTCTGCCTCAGCATTTCAAGTGCTGGCATTAGAGATGTGAACCACCACACTTGGCCTCTTCAGAGTTTTAATTTTTTATTGTTGTTATTGTGTGCGAGGAAGTGCAGGTTGAATTTGGGGGTGGAAGTCAGAGGACAGTTTTGGGGGTTGGTTTTTATGTTTCCACTGATTGAATTCAGGTTGTCAGGTTTGTGTGGCAACTGCTTTTACCTTCTGAGCATCTCACCAGTCCTCCTGGAAACGTGAACGAACATTGTCCACCTGTGCTGCGTGACCCGATGACCTCAGCTTTAGAGAGGTTCCCAGGGAGCTCTAGACATGGCTCAGTGGCTAAGAGCACTTGTTGCTCTTGCAAAGGACCCAGGTTCCACTCTCAGCACCCAAGTTACAGCTCACAGCCACCTTTAACTTCCATTCCAGGATATCTGATGCCCTCTTCTGGGCATTTGGGAACTACAGGTGTACAGACATGCACCACCATATATCCCAAAGCAACTCATACATCTAAAATAATAAAATAAGAATACTAGAGAGTTTCTACAGTTCCTCCTTGCTAAGAGTCACATGCCCGTTCCCAGGGACATAAAATTTGCATGAGATGTATACCTCTATAAGAACAACCCTAGCTGCCCTGCCTTTCCTCCAAGGACGAGGTGGTTCCCTAGCCTCACATACACTCTCTTTATAACCCTGGACTTTGAGGTATTGAGGGTGCCCAGCGTCAACCTTACTCTATACTCTTCTCTTTGGGCGTCAGTTTCTGCTCAGAGCCAATCACCTACCCAGGCCTTTTTCCGGTGGTTTGTGCCAGCCTGTCCTGCATCCCACGTCCCCAGCTGTTGACATTTCCATGCCATTACCAAGGGATGAACAAAAGGGCCCTGTTCTCCAACAATAGGGGAAAAGACAGCGACAATGGGAAATTGTGTCTCCAGTGGGGTGGGGACAGAAAAGAAAAGGACAGACAGACAGACAGAAAGGGTCAGGGTCCTGAAGCAGCCGGGTATCCTGAGAGCCTGATTCCCACCTTGACAGCAAATTTCAAAAGGCCACATGTAGCCTGGCACGGAGGGCACAGGTGAGGGCTTTGGGGGAGGGAGGGACGATCTGGTTGTTGGATGAGGTCCATATGGAAATACAGAACTGGATTCACACTTAGGGTTCGACCCCACCCTGCCTGGTCCAACACCCTTGGATTTGCAGTTGGTCTGTCCCACCCCTGCCTGGTCTAAGACCAGGAGAGCAGCAGGGCCTGCTCTCTGCTCTCTTCTAGGTGACCCTCTGGGTAGCTAGCTTTACTCTGTCCTCCTTCATCCCAATCCCGTGTCTTGCCCTGGCCCCAGGACATCAAGTGCCACCGATCCAGTCACCAGTAGCTTAGTGTGGACTGGGAACAGGTCTCAGCACCCTGGCTTCTTTGAGCACAGGCAACAAGCTTTCCTAGGAGAGTGTCCAAGGAGCCAGGGCATAATCAGGGGCCCAAGCCCTGAGGCCCAGGAGCCCTACCAGCACCTTCATTGGAACTTCTTCCTTCAGCAGAACAGGAAGCTGCTGAGCACGGCTCCCTTTGTCTCTGAGGTCATCTTTCCAGGTAGGCAATGGGTTGCTGACCACTGTGTTGGTTTCTTTCTGCAAGGGGTATAGGAGTGGTCTGTGTGTGCTTCTCTTAAATACAGAACTTTGGGTCGGTGGCTAATAGCTCAGTCCAGTCAGGTCTGAAATCAAACCCTGAAAATCCTCCCTCACAGCTCTGTGATGTGCCTGTGGTGTTTATTACTGCCTCCCTGAATCTCCAGAGGGTTAACGCACAGTATACAGTAAAGTGCCCAGGTCAGATTGCACTTTAAATATGCCAATGGTAGCTTATTCTGGATCACTCTTGGTCCATCGTTTTACAACACTTTGTTGTATTTTTATTATTATTTAAAACATTTTATTTATTTATTTATTTATTTATGTATACAATCTTCTACCTTCATGGCAGCAGAGGGCACCAGATGTCATTCAAGGTGGTTGTGAGCCACCATGTGGTTGCTGGGAATTGAACTCAGGACCTCTGGAAGAACAGTCAGTGCTCTTAACCTCTGAGCCATCTCTCCAGCCCGCATTTCTATTATTTTGTGTTCAGGTGCGGTATGTTTGTGCCATGGTGTGCAAACGGAGTCAGAGGACAACTTGTGGGAGCCAGTTCTCTCCTTTAAACATAGGGTTCTTAGGAATTGAACTCAGGTCATCATGCTGGGTGATAGTCATCTTACACACTGAGCCATCTCCCCAAAATAAAGACCCGTCTTTTTTACCAGGTTATCCTTTTTTTTTCCGAGGCAAGGTTTCTCTGTGGCTTTGGAGGCTGTCCTGGAACTCGCTTGGTAGTCCAGGCTGATCTCGAACTCACAGAGATCCGCCTGCCTCTGCCTCCCGAGTGCTGGGATTAAAGGTGTGCGCCACCAACGCCCGGCACTACCAGGTTATCCTTTATGGAATCCTGTCCCACACATTTTTTTTTGAGAAAGGGTCTCTCTAATTAGCCCTGGTTGTTCTAGACCTCTCCATGTAGACCAGGCTGGCCTCAGACTCACAGAGATCCATCTGCCTCTGCCTCCTGAGAGCTGGGATTAAAGGTGTGCAACTATGCACTTCATTTTTATTATTGGAAAGTTTTTTGTCTTTTAATTATTCGTGTGTATGTATGTGGTAGGGTGGGTGTGTACTCATGAAAGTAGGTGCCCTTAGAGTCCAGAAGAGGGCGCCAAATCCCCTGGAACTGGAGTTACAGACAGTTGTCAGCTGCATGGCATCAGTGCTGGGAACCAAACTTAGGCATCTTCAGCCCCTATCGGAAAGTTTGTCTTTGTGTGTGGGGGGGGTCGAAATAAGGTTTCTCTGTGTAGTCCTGGCCATCTTGGATCTCGCTCTGTAGACCAGGTTGGCCTCTGTCTCCCTAGTGCAAGGTGCGCACCGCCACCTGGTGAAAAGATTTTTTGTTTTCTTATTTATTTATTTATTTATTTATTTATTTATTTATTTATTTATTATGTATACAGTGTTCTGCCTGCATGTATGCTTGCACACCAGAAGAGCGTCAGATCTCATTACAGATGGTTGTGAGACACCATGTGGGTGCTGGGAATTGAACTCAGGACCTCTGGAAGGAGCAGCCATCTTAATTTAACTAACCTGTTTCTCCAGCTACAAACTGGCCTTTGGATACTCTTTGAGGACCTCCTTCGCCCTATCTGAGTGCTCCCGTCCCTCCTCCCCTTGAGTGCTGATGCTAGGTCCTAACAATGCACACACAGAGCTTTACAAATCCATGGTTAGTTCACCTAATTCTTGCAACTGACCAAAATATGCAACAGAAAGACTGATTTTGGCTCGCAGTTTTTTCCCTTTAATTCTGTCTGGTGTGTCTGCCCATGAGGTGGTGTTGCCCATGTTCAGGGTGGGCCTGGTCCTCGGTTGATCCTCTCTGGCTATATGTCCTCACAGCCATGCCCAGAGGTTTGCCTCAAAGTCTACTAAGCAATTCTAAGTCCACTCAGGCTGACACTGGGGACCCCCGACCACAGGTAGAATACTACTTAGTGATAATCAAGACACCAAGCCTGAGGTTAAGCTACTTGGGTAAGGTTATGCAGTTTGCATATGGAAGGGTTCAATTTGTGAGATGAATAAAAAGAAGTCAAGGGGTCATCAGTCGGGGGGGAGAGAGAGAGAGAGAGAGAGAGAGAGAGAGAGAGAGAGAGAGAGAGAGAGAGAGAGAGAGAGAGAATCCACAGCTGACAGACAGCTGCACTCGGAACTGTTTTCATAACTTTTCAGAGGTATGCACTGTAACGTCTAGAAAACCCTGGAGACACAGCCTAACCGTGCATGAGCACTGCTTCCCAATGCAGCTGGTTTAGTCGATGGTAAGGGTTAGGGAAGAAGTTTCTTGTCTGGTCCAGTAGACTTCATCCTCCACAGTGAGACAGACTGGAGAATGAGGGGAGATTGTCCAGAGGGAAGGCCCGGTTTTGATGTCTCTTAAGTCCGTTGTGTCTGGACTCCAGTGCAGAGTCAGGCTGGGGGCAGGGGAAACATTGGCAGCACAGGGGAGGCTGGAGCCTTGGAAACTGTGTGAAAAGGGTTCGATTTTTATCAGCAGCATCAGAGACAGCCACTCTTTCAAGCAGGAGAAGTCATATTTACTTTGGCCCTGGGGTAGCAAGTGATGCTGTCAAATGAATACAGAGATCCAAATCCCAATGGCGGGCTTGGGAAGCAGCTGGGATGAGGGACGCCCCCACCCCCGGAGATACTAAGACGGGGCTTGCTGGCTGGGATAAGCTGCTATCAGCCCTTTGGCTCCCAGCTGGACAATCTTCCTCTCTGCCTCCCCCCCATTTTTCCTTCAGTACTAAGGAGTGTCCACCATCTGTGCCCTGCGCACAGCGCTTGCTGACACCATCATGCCAAGTCGGATCCCTCTCCCTGCAGCCTGCTGCTTCCTTCTCCCCTGCGCATTCACCATCTTTCACGAAGCCCTGGGGAACCCGGGTAAGACCCTAGCCCAGCCCCCAACCAGGACGCTGCGGGAGGGGATCACGGGATGGAGGGCTAACAAGAGTAGCTTTGAAAGTACCTAGGGAGTGAGAACCAGAGCGGAGAGGGGAGGGTGGTGCCGGTGAGCCCGAGGAAAGCCTCCGGGGACTAGGTCTGAGTGGGCACTTGGGGCAGGGAGGATAAGAGGCCTGCCACTGTGGCCCCTCTGCTCAGCCCCCCATCCGGGTCCCCACTACCTCCTGCCCCCCATCCACGAGGTCATTCACTCTCATCGTGGGGCCACGGCCACACTGCCATGCGTCCTGGGCACCTCGCCTCCCAGCTACAAGGTACGCTGGAGCAAAGTGGAGCCGGGGGAGCTCCGGGAAACGCCAATCCTCATCACCAATGGACTACACGCCCGGGGCTATGGGCCTCTGGGAGGGCGCGCCAGCATGCGGAAGGGGCATCGACTGGATGCCTCCCTGGTCATCAAGAACGTGCGCCTGGAGGACGAGGGCCGGTACCGCTGCGAGCTCATCAATGGCATCGAGGATGAGAGCGTGGCACTGACCCTGCGCCTGGAGGGTGAGCTATTTTGTTGCAGCACTGCTGTTTCCTAGCTGCGACCGGCCACCTCGCCTCTGCTGGTCTCCCCTGCCGGCGCTCCCCTCCGTACCCAGATGCCCTGCCCTGCCCAAGCTCTCCTGCCCCCAGGTGTGGTGTTTCCGTACCAACCCAGCCGGGGCCGCTACCAGTTCAATTACTTCGAGGCGAAGCAGGCGTGCGAGGAGCAGGACGGACGCCTGGCCACTTATGGCCAACTGTACCAGGGTGAGCGCCAGACCCCGACTGGCGGCCCCGGAGAGCTTGCGGGGAAGCTCGAGTCTGGCTTGCGCCGGTGACTCCCATCCTCCCTGCCCTCTTCTCCGCCAGCGTGGACCGAGGGCCTGGACTGGTGCAACGCTGGGTGGCTGCTCGAGGGCTCGGTGCGCTACCCTGTGCTCAACGCGCGCGCCCCGTGTGGCGGTCACGGGCGGCCAGGCATCCGCAGCTACGGGCCTCGCGACCGCAGCCGGGACCGCTACGACGCCTTCTGCTTCACCTCGGCGCTGGCAGGTGAGCCAGCTACGCGCAGGCGGTGCCTGGCCTGGGGACCCATCCTGGAGGGAAGGGCGGGGACGGGCCTGGGCCCGGAGGAAGGACTTGGCCGGGCCGAATGAAATGATCCCAGAAGTGGTACCACCAGGAACAGGACCTCTAGACCAGGCGGAGGCTGGTCAGCGGCCGGTGTCGTGGGCGGGGACTGGGGGAGGACGGGGGAGGGACTCGGGCGGGCCCAGAGCCACAAGCGCCGCAGGGAGAAAGGATGTGAGCCGGGTCTGATGTCAGGGCGAGCGCAGCCCAGACCACGCTCCTCTGGACTCCGGCAAGCACCGTCCGGCCAGGGTTCTCCCGCTGTCATTTCCGGAGCTTCGCTGTCGCGTCCCGCTCCCAGGCCGGCTGCCTGGGGCTGTCTGTCACCCGCTCACGTTCCCAGGCCAGGTGTTCTTCGTGCCCGGGCGGCTGACGCTGTCTGAAGCTCATGCTGCTTGCCGGAGGCGCGGAGCTGTGGTAGCCAAGGTCGGGCACCTCTACGCCGCCTGGAAGTTCTCGGGGCTGGATCGGTGCGACGGAGGCTGGCTGGCGGACGGCAGCGTTCGCTTCCCCATCACGACACCGCGGCCGCGCTGCGGGGGTCTCCCTGACCCCGGGGTGCGCAGCTTCGGCTTCCCCCGGCCCCAGCGGGCGGCCTACGGGACCTATTGCTACACCGAGAAGTAGCCGCGCACTGCCCTGCCGCGCGCGACAGAGTGGCGGGTCCCCTCTCGACACACAAGGGTCGAGCCCCACACCTGCCTTCCCAGCCCAGCGCGGCGCTCGGGGATCCGGGCAGAGGGGCGTCCCAGGGATTAATTGACCAATAAAACAACATGGCACCTTCTCCGTTCGATAAGCTGCAGGGCTTGGAGGCTTGGAGGGCGTGTGTGAGAGGGTCTGGCCCTGGACCCAAAGTACCTACAGCAAGCCTACAATCTAGAGGAGAGGTTTTATTGCCTCTGTGGCCCAGAAAGATAAAGGGTTTGTGATGAGAGGGCATCGAGAGCTAGGACAGCAGAGAGGGAAGCTCGCAGACCGGGCCATCCTCTCTAAAGAACCCAGTCAGGAAAGCTCGCAGACCGGGCCATCCTCTCTAAAGAACCCAGTCAGGAAAGCTCGCAGACCGGGCCATCCTCTCTAAAGAACCCAGTCACCGAGGGTTTCTCATTCGAATTTGCCAGAAGCACTCCAAACTTCGAGAACTGCTTAGGCCCTTCAGAACAAATATGTAGTGGGTCTAAACACATTTTTAGATGTACTTAGAAGCGTTTCCAAGATCTGCTTTAATTAATTAAGTTTAAAGCAAGGTCTCTCAATTTAGCCCTGACTGCCCAGGCTAGCCTTGAATTCACACAGATCAGTCGACCTCTGCCTCCTGAGTGCTGGAATCACACCCAGCTAAAGTCTACAATTAAAGATAATGGGTTGGTGGGAGGGCACGGGAGGAGGGGAGGGAAGCGGGGAGGGACCTGGAATTGACATGTTAAGCAGCCTTGTTTCTAATTTAAATTTAAAAATAAATATATATGATAGTAAAGTAGTAAAGTCCGGGTCGTTAGCTCAGCAGTTAAGAGAACTTGGTGCTCTCTCAAAGGGCCAGAAGCCACAGCCATCTGTAACCCCAGTTCCAGAAATCCAACACCCTCTTCCGACCTACCTCCTGGGGCGCCAGACAGGCACATGGTGCACAGACATACTATAATAAATCCACTGACAAAGAGACAGTCAACCATGCGGGTTAAGACAATTAAAAGTAAGTGGGTCCTCTATTTCTGGCCTGTGATCAAGAGCCGCATGTGCCTCTACTCATGTCTGTGATCAAGAGCCGCATGTGCCTCTACTCATGTCTGTGATCAAGAGCCGCATGTGCCTCTACTCATGTCTGTTGGTGTGGGAGCTCAGGGTACAACATTTTTAAAGCTACAAACTACATCAATGTGAAGTGAGAGTAAGAGGAACATTTGGTTTGGGCAGAACGTGGTCGTTATTCCATGCTGTTTTACTTACACCCTCTTCACTTATTGTAAGCACTAATTTTGGGGAAAACCTCTGGACCACGGTCAGAGTCACGGAAATCTCCGGTGTGTAGCCAGGAGAGAGGCGATTGCTGGAGGTGGTAGGATGAGGGAGTAAGGGCATTAGAAGACACAAAACGTAGTCAGGACAAGGTGGTCCCACCTTAGTCACTTCATTCATCTACTGAGGTCACCTTCAGATCCTTGGGTTTCATGAAGGAGCAGGTGCTGGGTAACAACCAGGGAGTTAGGCTGGGCCTGATCAGTAGACCTAGGAGGACAAAGACACGCAGACCCATGGGGCCAGTGAGTAAGGTAGTCGGTCATGGTGGTTTCCAACGAAACCAGCTATGGACCCAGGGGGTTATTGGTGCCTTTTATTTATTATTTGTTATGTATAGTTATTTGGATGTATAGTCAGGCATACCTATTATTTTTAGGTACAGCAGAGGTAATAAAATTTTGTCATAGAGTCTGATCCTGGGGAGCTGCCTGGGTTAGCCCTGTAGGAAGCACTATGGAAATGCTGCTGTGGGTTCAGAGGGAGAGGGGGGCATCATAATCCCTGAGGGATAAATCTTGAACAACCTTTGTTGGGTCCTGACCAAGGAACTTTCAGTTGCCCCAAGATTTGTTGAAATTCAGCCCCTTCCCCTTGACTGCCATCACCTAACTCAGTCACCCCTTGTCACAGGCATCCTGACAGCCAGGGCAAAGCAGTTTCTAAAGCTAAGCAGCCTTGTCTGGGCAAACAGTTCCAGGAAATAGAGACTGCAGAATGACAGGTAGCCCCCTGCAGCTGCATTTAACTTCCCCATTTCTCAACCCCCCCACATAAGCTCCAAGTGTTCTCTCCCCTCTTTAAAGGCACCCCTTTCCCTCAAGAGGATGTCTGTCCACTGCTGTTTGAAACAAAGTCTCTTCTACCGATGTCAGCCTGCTCCCTTACTGCCTCTGTCTCTGTCTCTTGTCTCTGTCTAGTTTTTTGAGACAGAATTTCCTTTTGTAATAGTCCTGGCTGCCCTGGAACTCCCTCTGTAGGTCAGGCTGGCCTTGAACTCACAGAGATCTGTCTGCCTCAGAAATGTAACAATACCTGTTCCCAAAAGCCACTATTGAATTGGCTTTACTTGGGAAGGCCCCCTGGCTTCTGGGTTTCTAACAGCAGCAGGCTGGAGAACTAACTGGTCCCTATTGTCGTCTCTGGAAAGTGTTTTCCTCCTCAAGCAGTGTTGTTTTCTTTGCCCAGTTATGATGAGTTCAGATAACACCTATAACTTCATGCTTACATGAGTGTCCACAGTGGCCCCGCTGTGCTGACTGGGCCAGTCTTATGATTGAATCAGTTGAAACGCGCTGGGGACTTCTAACAAAATCAAGTAGCTGTCTGTTAACTGAGATGATAATTGAAAGCCAGGGTAGGAGGCATGGCCAGTCAAACCAGCATGCAAGCCCCATACCAGTCAGGTGGCAAGCTTGGGTACAAACTTCCTCTGTCCACAGTACCTCAGATGTCAGCGTGGGAGACACTGAGAGCAGAGTAGTTGGTTGTCTCTCTGTTGGTGGAGACTTTATAACCATCTGTCCAAGATCATCTGCTGGGTGAGGCATGAAGAGTAATTCATTTCCGCTATAGATAAGGAGGAAGGTTTCCAGGTCTGGGCTATACAGCCAGAGACAAGAACAGCGGACTTCCAAAGAGTATAATTTTCTTGCCGGGCGTTGGTGGCCCACGCCTTTAATCCCAGCACTCGGGAGGCAGAGGCAGGCGGATCTCTGTGAGTTCGAGACCAGCCTGGACTACCAAGCGAGTTCCAGGACAGCCTCCAAAGCCACAGAGAAACCCTGTCTCGAAAAACCAAAAAAAAAAAAAATTCTTATATCCTTCTCCTGTAATGAGGCCAGCATGCAATTTACTCTGATGGGATCTGTGTCCCATCCAAGGAAAAGGGTATTACTTGGGTCTAGGGATGTCCTGCCATGCAAACGTATTGTAATTTAACCCATTTTATTTGAACATTTAATTGTTTTCATAGTCAATTTTTAAAATATACCTGATTTTAAATATTATTTTATATTGAATAAACTTTAAGTTTACTTTAAACTGTTTTAAGTTACATGTTTTAGGTTTAACTGACAACATATACAGAAGACTATATAGTGGGAATGTAAACTGGTCTCTCCCTCCATGCTTCTCTCTGTAAATGAATTACATTTATACTTAGCTGCACTATAAACACAATTTGGGGCACATTAAAAATATGTGTAACCCTGGCTGTCCTGGAATTCGTTCTGCAGACCCGACTGTCCTTGAATTCAGATCCACCTGCTTCTGCCTCCCAAATGCTAGGATTAAAGGCATATGACACCATGCCTGGATTCATTATCTTTTATTTTTTAACTACCTTTAACAGTTTACAATAAGTTAGTTACCTTCATAAGGTTAGAATTTTATAATTTTGTCCCTAAGATTTTTGAGCCTTAAAAACATTCGGGGCTGGAGAGAAGGCTCAGAGGTTAAGAGCACTGGCTGTTGTTCCAGAAGTCCTGAGTTCTGTTCCCAGCAACCACATGGTGGCTCACAACCATCTGTACTGAAATCTGGTGCCCTTTTCTGGGCTGCAGCCATATATGGGCTTAACAAGAAACCTGGCACTAGGGAAATCTCCAGGAATCTACAAGGATGACCACAACTAGAATCTAAGCAAGGGAGCTGGAGAGATGGCTCAGTGGTTAAGAGCACTGACTGCTCTTCCAAAGGTTCTGAGTTCAATTCCCAGCAACCACATGGTGGCTCACAACCACCTAGAACGAGCTCTGATGCCCTCTGCTGGCATACAGGCAGAAGATTGTATACATAATAAATAAATAAAATATTAAAAAAAAGAATCTAAGCAAGGGAGCACACCTTTAGTCCCAGCACTCCAGGAGGCAGAGCGTACCAGTAATGTTCGACCCACATTTTTCAAAGACTGATTATATGAAGTATTTGATGACCTGGAGTCAAAGATGGAAGATTCTGGAAAACAACTTCTTCAGTCTGTTCTCCATCTGATGGAAAATGGAACTCTAGTATTAACTACAAATTCTGATAATCTTCTAAAACTATATGCAGCTGACCAGGGAAAATAGCTTGAATCCCTTGACCTTGCTGATGAGAAAAAGGTGCTCGCCTTGCCATGCTGGTCGAGCTGTGTATGTATTGTGCAGGTCCTGGAGTGGGCTCAGGAGAAGCTGAAGCTACGTGTGTAACACATCAATGGGGTCTATACCAATCCTAGTGGCATTGTCCTCCACCCATCTGGATATCAGAACGTGCTCAGGAACACTGAAGTTATGAGAGAGATTGAGAAACTCTATGAAAACAAGTCTTTCTTTTCTTGGGTTGTGGCTGGATGGTGGACAACACCACTTTCCAGGCCCTGTTCCTAGAGGCTGTCAAGCATAAATCTGACCTAGAACATTTCATGCTGGTTCAGAGAGGAGATGTAGATGAGTTCAAGAAGCTTCGAGAAAACATGCTGGACAAGGGGATCAAGGTCATCTATGGAAATGACTCTGCTGTTCTTCCAGAATATTTCAAGCGGCTAGCATATGAGATATCCACAAGGGGCAGATCAGGAATGGCAAGAGAAGGCCAGCTAAATGGTTCATCTGCAGCGCACGGGGAAATAGGAGGCTGTAGTACATGATCAAGCTGGAGAAATCACCATAGACCACGCTGTGGGGCCTTCCTGTGGATGTGGATGTTTTACAAGAACCCAGCACAGCTCCAGGAAGCACCAGTACCCACAAGTTGAAGCTTGGGGTAGAATAGGGGTGGCAGTGT